GGGAGGGCGGCGATTGTGGAGGAAGGGGGGATTCCGGTGCTAGTCTAGGCGATCAAGGCCAGTTCGGTGAAGGGAAAGGAGTTTGCAGTGCTGAACAGTCATTTGTTAGTGGACAAAAGGGTCATTTGCTATTTCTAGATATTTTAATTTTTTAATAATATAATAGTAAGGGTAGATAAGTAAATTTACTGCAAAATCTGACATGGGGAGGTCTTTTTAACAAAATGCCAACCCTCAGGTTTAGTTGTATATAGTCCAAACCTCAGGGGAGATTATTGTAGTTTGCCCTTCATTCAATTATCAAATAATATATCAGATTTCTCTGAATTCTCTTTTCGTTTTGTGGATTCAAAATATCCACCTTGTGGATTCAAGGTACCCTCATTCTTTTATGAACAATCCTTCTCTTCCGCTAAGTCATAGATATTGCAAGCTTAATGCTTCTCTGTACAAGTGTATAGAGAGAGAAATAAGAAGAAAATAGTGTAGGTAATGTAAAGGAATGTAGAGTGAAGTAAAGAATATATGAGTGTGTGTTTACATGAGTATGTATCTATGAGTATATATGTAGAGAGAGGAGGAAAGCGTGTAGAGAGAGTAATGTGTATGAATATATGATCTTATAAGGGTTTGTGTGTGTGTGCATGTGTGTGTGAATTGTGAATAAAAGGGCTTTATTTAGAGAGTGGAGTGGAAGAATCTCGAAATTCTTATAAGCATTGATCGAGGGCTAAAAATGGATATTGGAAAGCAAAATGAGGTGGAGGGATCAAATTTTGAAATGCCAAAAGTAGAGGGTGGTGCATTGTCACTTTTGAATTTAACTTTTTGGCTAATTACAATATTGCCCTTAATTTTTCAAAAATTACATTTCTTTCCATTTTCGAATTTCTGATCATTTTTTGGTATTTTGACCTCAGGATGATGTCATATATTTTGTCCCCTAATGAAGTTTGAACAACTCAGCATAGATGTGAATTGATTATTTTGCTTCTATACTGAAATTTTTGTCAAAGGAGTGTCCGAACCGGAAATAGCCGATATTTTAATGGTTTTTAAAGTTTTTGGACCTTTTGAATGCAATGATGATATTCATTTATCATTTTGACCGTAGGTTTGAAAGTCAAACTTAGAGTTGACTGTTTGACCCATATTAAAGGGTTTTGGTCCTAGGTGGGTCTGGAAGGGAATGTTGGCAATATTGCAATACTGTTAAAGGTTTTTCGACATTTTTAAGTACAATGGTAATGTTCATTGGTGAGTTTAACAATTGGTTCGAAAAGTAAAACTTAGAGTTGACCATTTTGCCCATGTTTTTATGGTCAATCAAGGTGCTAGAGGTAGTGACCGCGAGGATAGGTGGGTTTTTGGGTATTCTAGATGTAATGGTGGAACCAACTTATTGTTCTGACAATCAGATTGAAGGGTTGTAGTGTAAAATTTTAATTTTGCCCTTTTGGGGATATTGGTGATCGAGCTCGGTAAAGCATGTGACGTGTTTGATCTTACGTGTTTCCTTAAGGTTTTGGGGTGTTTTGTGTACAATGGTGAAGACCGATTTCTAATTAGATGGTTAGATTATCAATTTTTAATTTGTACGCATATGTGGGCCCTATTGATAACTGGATTTGGGAAATTGAAACATCGCTCCTTCCCTATGGCTAATGGAATTTCGGATGGGAGAAGGGGAGGCAAAAATGGGGTGTCTACAGGGTGTACTACTCTGAGACCTCTCAAGGTTTACTCAAATCACTATTAGATTAAACTTTTTTCACAAGACTTCCACTAAAAGCGTGCCAAAGCAATAAATCTCAAATGCTAAAATTACCACTTGAGTTGAAAAAAATAATAAAAAAAAAAAATAAAAAAATAACCCGGTTTGTAAAACAAAGTTATTTTTCCCAAGACTTTCGTTAGATGAAAAATAATAGCAGAAAGTAAAGTGAAAGAAACAAATTTAAGGATCAAAAATGGATAATCCTAGAGTGCATTGCAACCATGGCCCTCGCACATTGACCATTTTCTTTTTTCTTTTTTCTTTTTTCTTTTTCGTTTCTTTTCTTTTTCTTCTTCAATCCTACGTGCTGTTGGATCTTTGTTGTCTTAATAAATTCTCAGAACCCACTCGCGTTTCCCAGCGCGTGAGATACACTAATTTGAAATATTCTTCTTACGTAATAAATACCATGCACTTACGTAGTTTTCAAGGAGCTGGGCTGTGCTCGATTGACATCTGCATCTGCGGGCACGTCATCAATCTCCTCTCTTTCTGTCATTATGTACTGCCTCTCATGACTCGCCATATTTGTGCAAGGAGATCACAAGAATTACTTTAGTTACAAATGATTAGAACACCTATTTATAGTCGCCCCACTAGCTATATTCTACAACTCTTTCACGCAGATATATACAAGTCTACAAATATACTTTAGATTTTTCTACTCCTCTACAAATATTTACAATTTTTAACACACTTTACAATTCTCTAAAAGTCCCTATACTAAAATTCTATTATACCCTACTAACATGATCCAATCTTTACAATTCTCCAAGTCTCTAGAATTTTATTATCACCAAAATGATGGCATAGAGTGACAGGACCTACTAAAATGCACTTTTCTTTGACAAGATATAATTGGTTAATAATACAGATGACATGATTACATGAAATCACTTATGCATGAAAGTTTTTCTCTCATGCAGAGCTAATGCCAGTACTTTGTTGTGCGAATAGGCCGAATTAGCAACACTAAATCATTTTTGGCATGACTCCTCAGCTCACTTGCATGGCGTAGCCTCCTCCACAATGAGGTGAACCGGGACACAAAAGCTTCCTACATGATCTATTGGGTCCACACATCACACAACTGCAATATACGTTATTTTTTTTAACCGCAATATACGTTCATCTGGTCTTTATTTTTTTATTTTTTATCTTTTATTTTTTCAATTATAGTACCTGATCATTCTTAGGAGAAATTTTAGAATATCCGATTGAGTACGTGATAACCCAATCACATGGAAATTCTCTATTTGCCTTAAAAAATAAATAAATAAATAAATAAATAAATTTGAGAATTGGAGTGGGACTGGAGTATCACGTATTGGTACGGGGTATTGTAGACTTTCTACATTCTTAAAATTCTTTGTTCATAAGCCATTTTAGCATCCTCTGTTTCCCTTAGCTTGTAGTATTAGTTCGTGTCTTGCTAGCTTGTTCTTGAAACTGTAGATTTCAATGATGGTTTGGTGTTTAAGTGTTTATTAGTTTGTGTCCGAAGCAGTTTAGTCTTGGGCGGCGAGTATGTTTTGGAAGTCACTCATGGGTATCGATTCTATCAATAGAGAGTTTGCAGAGACCAATATTAGTGGTCTTTCTTTCATTTTATATATATTTATATATATATATATATATTTTAAAAATTTTTGTAGGGTTTAATGGAAGAAGATAAAATAATAATAATAATAATAATAATATTTTTTAGGTTGAAGAGAATGAAAACTTGTACGAGAGGTATGAGGCAATGGTGGGATGAAATTCTGCTTGAAGATGAAGAATACGGTGGCCCTGAAGATACCAACACTCCAAATGCTCATTGTTCTCAATACTGGGAAAGACAGAGGAGTGAGATCAGTTTTGGAAGTCACTCATGAAGCTATTACTTATGGCATGTGCATGGCCGAACACTCTTGGACATCTCCAGTACTACTGCTGAAGCAAGGTCAGCGGATTAAAAATTCCTTGCTGATAAACTCAAGGAGAAGACTTCAAAAGAGTTCAATTGAGTATGAGGAGAGAACATTGAGTAACGCGGCAGACACAATTCAAGTAATAGACACAATTCAAGTGATAGACGCCATTTGGAGAAGACTTCAAAAGAGTTCAATTGAGTATGAGGAGAGAACATTGAGTAACGCGGCAGACACAATTCAAGTAATAGACACAATTCAAGTGATAGACGCCATTTTAGTTTAGGGAAAATAATTCTCCAAATCTCAGAAAATATAAAATTGACAATTCTTTCAGACAAACCTTTTTACTTGAGTTTTCAGCAGGGGTGGCTCAATTAAATTTTAGGCCTTTGGCAAAAAAATAAAAAAGCAGTCTTTCACTATTGTATATTATTTTAATTTTTTTAGATGACTTGGATTGTTCATTTATTGAATTTTCACCTAATTATTATTTTTTAAGCTTTGATTATTAGTGGTAACAATTCTATTAATAGTAGGGGTGCTCACGGATCAGATCAGATTAGGCAGCTCCCAACAGATTAGACAAATCCTAATCCACCACCGATCCGTTATTCCACGGATCGGATCGAATCCGCGGATTGGGTTTTATTTAAATTATCCATTATTATTTTTTATAAAAATTTATTTATTTTTATAATTCACGATCGATAATACTGCTCAAACTATTGGAAGTGGGCCTCTAGGGAGAGATCTCCGCTGCGAATATGTTTGAGCAAGTTGTAGGGATCGAGCGGCGGCAGCACAGGCTCAAGCGCGAATCTACCATACGATCTCTTTCTGACGTTTTGCAACTTGATATCCTTCACGGTGGCTACCGATCCAGATTCGTTGGTCTCTCCGGCTGCGCTGCCACCTTCACCGCCGCGGTTGCCCCTCCTTCATCTTAAGACTTTCTTTTTCTCTTTCAGTTTCGTGAGTTCATCAAGTTAGTCATGAGTCTAAGAAAAATTAAGATTTTAGAGAGAGAAAGTTAGAGGGGCAAAAATACCGATTAAAGGTTAAAGAGAGAATGAAAAACGGAGGTTATTTTGATCCTTCAAAATTTAGCTTACAGGGTTATATTAGTAATTTATACTTTTATGTATTTGTTGACAAAGTTAAAGGTTAAAATGGTCATTTTCTCGGATAGAGGGGTGTGTATGTAAACTTTTGAAACCTCAGGGGTGTCAATGTAAACTTGTACATTGACCGTCCGGTGTTGACCTAAACCCAAATTCAAGCTACAATTCATCTCAAACATGGCCAAAGATCCATAATATGCTCGAGTGTCATTTCTATTCAACATAAATATGTCAAATCCAAAATTTACATCAATTTCCTCCAAATCAATTCATACAAGCATTTCTTCAAACAATGCGTATGCATAAATTCAATGTCTCCCACCAAAGCAATATCAGCCACTGCATTTCTTCCTTTGGTTAAATATAACCTGCAATATGGTAGGGTGAGACTAGAGTCCGCGACCCAGTAGGAATAATTCTAACAAGTGTTCTTAGGGATTTCATACACAAAAGGGAAATGTTTTACAATGATGAAAAACATGGAATTTCAAGCACACATATAGGAGCAATTTTTCCAACAAACAGAATAGAAACTTAGAACAATCAAATAAAAGGATGAAAATATGAGTCAAGAATTATATTATGTTTCCCAACAGAGAATCAAGCTTCAAGCTTCAGCTTATGGACATCAAAAAGCAAGAACAAAATTAGGGGAATCCATGTACAAAGTAAAGCGTTGAGATTTAGGACACAAAATCACTCATAGCAACCCAAGTTAGAAGGACCCTACCTTAATTGATCGTGAAGATGAAAATAATGATGATGAAAGAACATGAAAAATGATGATGAAGATGTGAAAGATGGTCGAACAGTCCAGCTTTTCTTTCCTTTCCTTTCTCTTCCTTCCTCTTCTTCTTCCTAGAAACTCCGCAACAAACCCAAGGCTAGGCTTTCCCCTGCTCTCTTTCTCTCTTTAGCACTCGGTCACGGCTACTTTCCTTCCCTCTGTCTCTTTTCTTAGCCTAGTTCTCTTCAAACTCTATGCGTTTTTGTGTGACACCCATTTTTATAAGGTGTATAAAAGTCTTGACAATGCATGTGAGGGACATGGCATGTGTCATCCAAGTTCTGCTGCCACCTAAAAAGCCCATTAATCCACTCCTCCTAATTCTATAAACTTTCACAATAACTCTAACTAAATACAAAATCTCTAAACAAAAACTCCCACAATTTATAATATAGTTTCCAATAATACCAAATCAACAAATAATTACACTCAAAGCCTAAATAAAAATTCGGGTTATTACACGCTTAGTCTGGACTCAACCTAGACCTAGACTTTTGCTGAACACCGAATAAATAAAAATTAAAAAAAATATTTTACCTCAAAAAAAATCTTTTCGGATGAAAATATTTTAGGCAGCCTAAACATCAATCATCTTTTGCTGTCATCTTCCTCTCTCCACATCTCGACCCAATTCGTCTGAGCTTCTTCAAATCCTAGAAGCGAACCCTTCTTCTCCGGATCCCAACTCGTAGACAGAGTCCCATATGCAACTCCCAAAGTTGATGCTCCAAATGTGACAAAAGTGGTGAAGAAAGGTAACCAAAGTGGCACATCCCACACATGTTGTTCCTTCACTATGTCAAACACTTGCAGCATTGCTATACCACTCACCAATGGAACCCCCACATAAACCAAGATCCTAACCACCATCCTCTCCATCACAATGTCCGGCATCTTCTCATCTTCGTCGTCGTCATTGTTATTCCCGTAGCTTTTTCCGGTGACTGTCCCATTACCAATACTGATCTTCTCTGTCCGCGTACTAGCCGGTTTTCTGTTGAAGCCTTTGGCGCCCTCAGCATGCAGCTTCCATGTTTTTGCGGGAAGGTAGGGATTTTTTAGGGTTTTGGGGTAGAGGGTTGGGCTTCTTGGATTCCATGGAGAAGGCTTGGTAATGTAAAGAGGTTGTTGTTGTAGAGAAACCATAGTTTTCATGGCTTCTTAGGCTTTGTTTCTCAGAGTATACCAATCATGCCTGCAATGTTCTAATTATTTGAAATCTTATCCAAAACAATGAATGGTGGTGACTTTGTCTCAAGGAGATATAAGATTCTATCTTGTTCTATTTTTGAAGAATTTTTAGTCTGTGCCTATTGAAGACAGACAAATTTGCCTTCCCATTCAAGGCAGTTAGTGTTACTACAATATACTATAACCAGCCTCACCAGAGGAGTAAGTTGAAGGCTATTTTTGTCATTTCAACTAATACATTACAGAAAAGATGGCTCATTCTTACCAAATCAAACAAAAATATTTCATAACTATAGTGTTTATATAAGAGGATTGAGCTAATTAATTAATGCTTAGTGAAGCTTTAATTTGGATTAAAATGTTAATTACTTAATTTGAAATTCCAGTGAAGCTAAAGTCTCTGACGTACTACTTACCTAGTCTGGAGGTTGCTTCTGGCTCTCTACACTTGAGCTCCAACATAATACTAAGCAAGATAGAATAACAATTTGAGGGCAAAAAGTGAGCTTTGATTTATTGTTTTCTTTTCCCTAAAAGTTAGATGAAGCCGAATTTTATATAATGTTTAAAATTTTATAAATCTTTAACATACATACATACATATATATATATATATATATATATATATATTAGTAAAAAATAATGTTTTGTAACTTATGGAATTTTTGATTTCATATATTTTTTAATTATTTTATAGAAATTATTTTATTTTATTTATATATATTATTGTCTAATCAGATTTTCTTTTATTAAAAAACTCATAATAAATAGGTAAATATAGAGGTTATATGAGATAAAGTTCTATTTTAAAATTAATTAATAAATATTTTTATATTAAAAAATAAATATTGAAATTATTTTATTTTCTTTAAATATATCCTTGTCTAATTAGATTTCCTTTTATTAAAAAAAACTCATAATAAATAGATAAATACATGTTATATGTTATAGAGTTTTAAAGAAAATAAAATAGCTAATTTGGGTAGAGTTTAGGTAATTTGTGTTAGTGATTTATAGAAACTCTTTTAAGATATCCTTTTTTAATGTGATAGAGTTTTATTGAAAATAAAATAGTTAATTTGTTGTAGTACAATTTTATAAAATTATTTATTTTCTTTAAATATATATATCCTTGTCTAATTAGATTTTCTTTTATTAAAAAACTGTAATTTGTGTTAGAGTTTTAGAAAAATTATTTTATTTTTTTTCAATCAATTAATATTATTTATATTAATAATTCTTCTCTAATTAGATTTTCTTTAATTAAAAAACTCATAATAAATAGATAAATCGGTAATTTGGGTTAGAGTTTTATATAAACTCTTTTAAAATTTATTTTATTTTCTTTAAATATATCCTTGTCTAATTAGATTTTCTTTTATTAAAAAACTCATAATAAATATATAAATATAGGTTATATGTGATAGAGTTTTAAATAAATAAAATAAGTTATTTGTGATAGAGTTTTATAGAAATTATTTTATTTTCTGTAAGTATATTCATAATAAATAAATACAAGTTATTTGTGATAGCATTTTATAGAAAATAAAATAATTAATTTGTGTTAGAGTTTTATAGAATTTATCTTATTTTCTTTAAATATATTATAGTCTAATTAGATATAATGTGATTGAAGTTTTATAGAAAATAAAACCGCTAATTTGTGGTAGATTTTATAGAAATTGTTTTATTTTCTTTAAATATATTATTGTTTAATTATATTTTCTTTTATTAAAAATACTCACAATAAATAGGTAATATGTGTTTGAATAAATCTTTTAAAAACTCTTTTTATATCAATTAATAAATATTTTTTTATATTAATAATTCTTGTCTAATTAGATTACCTTTTATTAAAAAAAACTCAAAATAAAAGAGAGTTTGTGGTAGAGTTTTAGAAAAATTATTTGATTTTTTATATTCATTAATAAATATTTTTTATATTAATAATTCTTGTCTAATTAGATTTTCGTTTATTAAAAACCCAGAATAAATAAATAAATAGGTAATTTGTGTTAAAGTTTTATATAGAAACTCTTTTAAAAACTCTTTTTAAATCATTAATAAAAATTTTCTTATATTAATAATTGTTGTCTAATTAGATTTTCTTTTTATAAAAAAAACTCATAATTAATAGATAAATAGGTAAATTATGTTAGAGTTTTATAGAAACTCTTTTAAAACCTCTAATTTATATCAATTAATAAAAAAATTTATATTAATAATACTCGTATAATTAGATTTCCTTTTGTTAAAAAAAAAAAAAAAAAAAAAAAAAAAAAAAAAAAAAAAACTCATAATAAATAAATAAATAGGTAATTTGTGTTAAAGTTTTTTAGAAACTCTTTAAATATATCTTTGTCTACTGTGATAGAGTTTTATTGAAAATAAATAGATAATTTGTGTTAAAGTTTTATAAAAATTATTTTATTTTCTTTAAATATATCCTTGTCAAATTAGATTTCTTTTTATTAAAAAATTATGAAAAAGGATAATTTGGGATAGAATTTTAGAAAAATTATTTTATTTTACATATCATTTAATAAATTTTTTTATATTAAAAATTCTTGTCTAATTAGATTTTCTTTTATTTTAACTCAAAATAATAAATAAATAAATAGGTAATTTGTGTTAGTATTTTATAGAAACTCTTTAAATATATCATTCTCTAATATAATAGAGTTTTATTGAAAATAAAATGGGTAATTTATGGTAGAGTTTTAAAAAAATTATTTTATTTTCTTTAAATATATCCTTGTCTAATTAAATTTCCTTTTATTAAAAAAAACTCACTATAAAAGATAATTTGTGGAGAGTTTTAGAAAAATTATATTATTTTCTATATCAATTAATAAATATTTTTTATATTAATAATTTCTTGTTTAATTAGATTTTCTTTCATAATAAATATATAATGTGATAAAGTTTTATAGAAAATAAACCGCTAATTTGTGGTAGATTTTATATAAATTATTTTATTTTCTTTAAATATATTATTATTTAATTGTATTTGCTTTTATTAAAAAAAAACTCATAATAAATAGATAAATATGTAATACGTGTTAGAGTAAATCTTTTAAAAACTCTTTTTATATCAATTAATAAATATTTTTTTATATTAATAATTCTTGTCTAATTAGATTACCTTTTATAAAAAAAAAAAACTCAAAATAAAAGATAATTTGTAGAGTTTTAGAAAAATTATTTTATTTTTTATATTAATTAATAATATTTTTTTATTAATAATTCTTGTCTAATTAGATTTTCTTTTATTAAAAACTAATAATAAATAAATAAATAGGTAATTTGTGTTAAAGTTTTATATAGAAACTTTTTTAAAAACTCTTTTTAAATTAATTAATAAATATTTTTTTATATTAATAATTGTTGTCTAATTAGATTTCATTTTATTAAAAAACTCATAATAAATAGGTAAATAGGTAAATTATATCCTTATCTAATGTGATAGAGTTTTATTGAAAATAAAAGGGTAATTTGTGGTAGAGTTTTAAAGAAATTATTTTATTTTCTTTAAATATATCCTTGTCTAATTAAATTTTATTTTTATTAAAAAAACTCATAATAAAAAATAATTTGTGGCAGTGTTTTAGAGAAATTATTTTATTTTCTATATCAATTAATAAATTTTTTTTAGATTAATAATTTCTTGTCTTATTAGATTTTCTTTTATTAAAAAATTGATAACAAATAGATAAATAGGTAATTTGTGTTAGAGTTTTATAGAAATTCTTTAAATATATCATTTTTAATGTGTTTTATTGAAAATAAAATAGGGAAATTATTTTATTTTCTTTAAATATATATCCTTCTCTAATTAGATTTTCTTTTATTAAAAAACTCATAAAAGGTGATTTGGGTTAGAGTTCTAGAGAAATTATTTTATTTTATTTTACCTATTTAAATTTAATTGGTAATTGATTTGTGTCAAAGTTAACATATTTGAAATTGAATTATGAGGATAATATGTGGTGAATTAATTATTTATGCACCAATTGATTTATTTCAATATTATATGAACCAATTAATTTATTAAATATTTTATTATGCATTAACACTTTTTTTTACACAGCAAATAATAATTAATTTATTAATTTATAAAAATTGAGTTTATCAATTTTATGAAGCAAATAATAATTAATTTATTAATTTATAAAAATTGAGTACAATCCTCTGATCTTTTGTTGGTTGGATTCATGTGCTGACGAATCTTGATCTCGAAGGACACGATTTTAGATGTGCTTGTTGTTCTTCGTCTTCAAAGAATTTATGAAACAAAACTTCTGTATTATCCTAAAATCATGAGTCTCTAAATTTCTGCCCCTTTAGATTTCTAGAATTCTCAATTTCTGTACCCTTCCTCCTTCATCGATGCCTCTATTTATAGGCTGATGACATGTGTCCTCTTTTGATAAGGACATAATCATAATTGAGGCGGACTGAATGTCATTATCTTTTATAATAATGGTATAGATATAGATTTTGTGTTACAGGTTTATAGAAACTCTTTTAATAATAGTATAGATTTATTAAGGAATTTGTAATTTAAATTTATAGAAGCTCTTTTAATAATAATATAGATTTATTAGGTAATTTGTAATTTGAAAGTCGTGATTTATTTTATTAGGTAATTTTTTTAAGAAACAAATAAATAAATAGGTAATTTGAATTTTATTAGTTAATTTTTAGAGTTTTATATCAATTAATAAATATTTTTTTATATTAAATACTGAAATACTGAAACACTTTGTATATTTAATAATAGTATAGATATATATGTGTGTGTGTGTGTGTATATATGATCCTTCAAAATAGAAAAAAGATAAATCACATCCGCCATATTTTCTTCCACTCAATCTATTCGTTTAAAAATTGTCTAATTTGCATACTTTTTCTTTTAAAACCATCTCTACAATTAAGGAGTATTCAAGCATGCGAGTGCTAATAACTTCTATCTGGACAATGTAAGTAGTCACAATCCCATATAAAATCTTAACATTAATGGTAATTTCACGCTTATCATCCCAGTAAAATTGACAAAAATTTCATAGAATCTAAGTAGGGAAGTATAATGAATTTTAACCTGAAGTAAAAATATTGTTCGAGCACTTAATTACAAAATGTTTGGATGTAAAGAATCCTTGTCCGTGCTAATAGTAGCCATATGAGTGCACAAGGAGGGAACAAACAACCGCTTCCAAAGGGACTCAAGCGCATAATCATAACAACGCCATATATAGAAAGAATAAACTCTAATCCCTCGTTTGAATAATCATACGTTGTAGAAGGGAAAGAGGTAGAAAGAACATAGGAGGAAAATAAGAGAGAGTATTTTTCTAAGGAGAAAGTGGAGTGGGAAATGGTCAAATATGAGAGAAGGAAGAATAGATTTGAAAGTTCAAAAAAAAAAAAAAAAAACATGTTGTTTGGTTGCAATTTTTTGAAAATTCAGTTAATTTTTTTTTTTAAAAAAAAAACAAAATTAGAAAAGAAAAATTATTACTTTTTAAATTTTTTGAAAATAATTTTTTGTTTTATGAGTATTCTATAATTATTTTTAAAAATTGAACAAAATAGTTTCTAGTTTTTTTTATTTTTTTGCCATGCTTTTATTTATGTAAAAATAACAAGTTTTGAAAAGTTGTGTTGTCATTTTTGTCAAAAACAAAATAGTTTAGTAACCAATATGGCAATATCTACTGTTGAATTTTAAAAAAGAGAAAACAGAAAATATGTTTGGTAATTTTTTCTGAAAAGAAAAAATTGACGCTTTTATTTACTATTATAGTATAATTGAAAATTAATAATAAAAAGTAATATTTTTAATTTTGCTATTCGAGTATAATTAAATATTTTTTTAATTTTATTTATTACTTGAGTATAATTGAAAAATAATAAAATAATATTTTATTTATTATTTGAGTAGAATTGAAAATTTTTAAAATAACATTTTTTATTTTATTATTCGAGAATAATAAAATAATATTTTTAATTTTACTATTCGAACATAATTAAATATTTTTTTAATTTTATTTATTACTTGAGTATAATTGTAAAATAATAAAATTATATTTTATTAATATTCGAGTATAATTGAAAATTAATAAAATAATAAAATAACATTTTTAATTTTATTTCCGTATAATTAAAAAATAATATTTTATTTACTATTCAAGTATTATTGAAAAAATAATATTTTTTAATAATAAAAATTAATAAAATAATAAATAACAGTATTTAAAAATCAAAACAGAAATTCAAAACTTCATTTTGGAGTTGTATGCGTCACAGGTGGAAAAAGTTTTGAAATGTGAAAAGTCAAAATAGGGTTACCAAACCAATTTTATTACCCTTAAAAAAACAAAAATTTGAAAATGAGAACAGAAAATCAAACGTTAATAAAGGAAGGAAAAGGTTTTCCTTTCTTTTCCCTTCTCCTCCCTTACATAACATTCCCGTAAGTTCCCCCGCCTAGGAGGGAGTTAAAAACGCAGAACAAATGAGAATAGAACCATAGCCCTCCATTTGGGGGAAATTCAAGAAATATCTGACGCCATGGACGACGTTGATCGTTTGTTTGAGTGCTTCAAATGTGGCGTTTCTCCTCCACGTATTTATCTCTTTCTCACATTCACAATACACATACATACATTTTATATACATATATACGTAGTTCTTCATTCTTTTCTCCACTTGGGTTTTCTACTCTTAAAATTCTAGATTAGGGTTTTGATCTGTAAATTTTTCCTAAAATTGCATTTTTCCGTAGCTTATTAATTACTTAGTCATGTACATCGTTGATGTTGTTGCATTTTCACTTATATTCATCGATGATTATGTCCAATGTTGATGATACTTGAAAATTGAGGGAAATAATTTGAACACACACATACACAGTAGTAGTTTGTTTATTATGTATTTACTTTAAAATGCAAGGTCAACTGGGCCAAACCCCTTTGTGGATTTGTCAAGTCCCTGTCAGTACCTACAATGCTATCTTTGAGATGGAACTATGAAGCTGAATGGTGGCAGATGTTCCAAATTTAGGGATTCCAAGTATTAGATTTAGCCGCCAAATTTTTGAACTCATTGGTTTGCTCCCAACTGAATTTAAATGTTATATGTGTTGTTGCTTGTCAAACTTTGTTTCTGGTCTGTCTGCTTATCATATTTTACTTCTTGCTACTCATCTTTACATTGATGTGAGGCCGTGCTTAGTTTTTCAATTCTTTTAATAAATTCCGAGTGATATTTAGTGCGGCAAATGAGGTGAGAATCTACAAGAAGCCCCCAAATTAGCATTTTCTTAAACTTGTTCCACTTGACTAGGATTATGTATGTTGTCAATACTGAATTGTGTTGGTCAAGTGATCGATAACTAAAAGAAAATGTTTCATTACGATAGGTGTTTTTGAGGCATTCATACCCAGCTAAATAAGTTAAAACTTGACCTCTTGTGTCTAAATTTTAGTTTCTTCAGGTATGCATCAACTGTGTAACAGTGATTTTTTATTTTTTATTTTTCCCTTTTCCAAAACATAACTTTTTGGTGACGTTTGTGCAAGGAATGAAATGAAAATATGCTTTTTCTCTATACTTCTTCACAACACAGTGAAATAAATTAGTTGCTCGTTTTATGGTTTTATGTTTTTATATAGATGTTGCACTTCATGTTGTTTATTTGATTTCATAAAAATAAATTATTGTGTTGTATTTCAGAATCTGCCTTGCGAGAAAGAAAAGTAACCACAAAGAAGTTAAAGAAAGCGAGTTCAACTCAAGAAGATTATTTGAATTCTGGCAGTCCAGCTTCAACTTCAGCGGGAAAAAACCAGCAAAATGCAGCAGATGTGCAGCACTTTATGCAAAAAGTATATAACACATTTCTTTTGTTTTATGCTTATTTATTTCTGTGCGCCCTGTCAGTTATTTTGTCTCTTTGACTTGTTGGTTACACATGCAGTGCCTTATTATTAGACTACCACAAATCTTAATTGTACTTCTTAGTTCTTACCATTTTTCTTTCAGTTTGATTTGACAACAGCGGAAGTGAACAATATTAGTCGTGGGAAGCAGATTTCTCCAGTTGTATTTTATGGTTCTCCACACGGTGTCCCTCCAAAAAGACCATCTCGTTTATTGCGATTATTACATGAGATACACATTGATTTCACTGAACAAAATAAATTAAGGTAATATGAGATTTTGTGCTATAACTTCAATCATTTTTTATGCCTCCATTCACTAGTTGGTTAAATGTGGTTTTATTTCTTCCTAGAAAGGAAGTATGGGCTACATTCCCAAGGCAAGACGAGGCAATGAAGTTTGTAAAAGAGCATACACATGCTCGTCTTTTTAGTTACCAGGATCATATGAATGGACAAAGAAGGTTCCTTGCTTCAACATATAAGGAGTTTTGGCGAAGGTTGCCTTGTTTTTTGTTTCAAAATTATTTATGCCTAATAAATAGTATTTGATGGGCATTCTTCTAAATTATTTGTTTATGCTGTGTTATAAATATTAGGTACAAGAACATGAATTCTAAATTCCGCCGCCATTACGAAGTGATTCAGGAGGTACTTCTGTAGTTTTTATCAATCAGTTGGCACAAACAACCATTCATATGTACATGTACGGGAAATGAGGAATATGTATTCTGACTGGACTTGTTTTGTTTCTGCTAGAGCCTGTACTTAAGCACTTCATATTCTGTTTCCTGTTCTTCTTTATGCTTTTCAAAGAATTATGATTGCCACCAGACTATTAGAAGCTAAATTAATGTATCAGGCAACACATTATGCTGTTGATTTCTCCACTTATCAAAGTTAACTTCTGGTAGGCAATGACTAGGCATACCAGCTTGATGGAAAGTAATATCTTTGGACAATGGTATTATTGCTGGACCCTATACCTATTTGATCAGGTAAGGACCAAAACCCTAGGCTCTGATTGAGTGTATGTGTAAGGTCTGTGATATAGACCTCGAGGGGGTGAACAAGTCTTTTTACCTGTCTTAACTAATATGAACTACTTATTGAATTTTAACTAGCTTATTGAAAATTCAAATTTAAATTGACAAAATATATTTATTATCAATCAATCATCATGCTCAACTCATTCAACCATTAGTAATTAAAAATAAAGTAAGGTAAGCACAATGAACACGGAGTTTTATACTTACCGGAAAAAATAACAGTTTTACGTGAAAAACTCCCAACGGGAAAAACCACATGACCTAGTCTAGTCAGATTAAAATCAGTACAAGAAGAGATTACTAGGTTAACAGTTCAAACCCCATAATCCTTAGCGACCTCTTAATACGACTGATCCACCAAACTCACCTATGATCCTAGATTGACTATAACCCCATATCTACAGTCAATATAGGAGTCCCTTGTAGTTTAAGAAGTAGTCATTTTAGAAATATTCTTTTAAAGAGTTTCCAAAAATATGATTCTGCACAGGTTGATCTAGTGACTCGCATTTGTCAATTGATTGAGATTTCAATTGACATGTACTTTCCAAGGTTTGATTGATTGAGCTTTCGATCGAGCTATTCTGGACTTACAATATAAATTTTCAGGGGAATATCTCGATAGATTGAGGTATTGATCGAGCTATATATATATGTGTGTGTGTGTGTGTGTGTGTGTAAAAATTAGGATAAAAACCTTAATTTTGAAAAACATGTACAAAAAAATAGATTGATCCTTTTTAAACATCAAATCTAGGTCGTAAATGATCTCTAAGTCTTATTTTACCTTTAACCTAATATGTAATTTAAATCTTGAGATATTTACAGCATATTCTTTGTTGATCTACATCTCCATCATCTTTTGTGTTTGTAGACAAACGACTCACGACATTGACACACATTATGACCCAAGTTTTCAGTAGGATTTTGCGAACACTACTCATAAACCTAACAGTCTCTAAATGTGAAACTGAATTTTGAGTCATCAGATCACATAGGAAAATATAAAAACTTTAGAAGTCACCAAAGCTGCAGTTTATAATGTTTATTGGCCCTTACTATTTTTTCTTTTAATGTTCTGAACTCTTATTTATGTAAAACCATACTTACTATTCAGTTTTTATTTAGGCCACAACAGGCAAACATTTTTATTATATCCTCGTTCTTATAAAAGATTTTGTGGTTAGCTACTAAAGAAAGGAAAATGTTGTAATTCTCTGCATTGCCTTCTTGGTTATACTGTTTCACATTTGGGTAGAAATATGATGTTGTTCATGTGTTATTATGTGTTGTTGTCAGGGATTGCCATGTCACCTTTATTTCGACTTGGAGTTCAGTAAGAAAGACAATGCAGAAAAGAATGGAGATGAAATGGTTGATCTCTTGATATCAGTTATCTTTGAAGCCTTACTTGAGAAGTACTCTGTTGAAGGAAACCAGGAATGGATTGTAGAGCTTGATTCTTCTACTAAAGGTACAAGTTGTTACTTGCCATGTGATTAGCAATCTTTCTTTGATTCATTGTCTGCATAGTTTTCTGTGCAGATAAATGTTATGAAATTTTTAGTACAGTCACCTAAAAAATTGTATTGAATGAGTAGGTAAGCTTATTGTTTTTACCCTTGCCTAACTTAGTCCTTAAAGTTAAACTTTTCCTATGCTAGGTTCCATTTTGACTCCAAATTTTACTACCAGTCATTTGAATCTCACTCTCAACCATCTTATCGATCTACATTTAAACTCACTAGGTACATGCTTTAGACCCTATGGTGTTCTAAAGATTGTTCGTTGCTTTCAGTAGCCCCACACTTGCATAAGACCAGTCGTTAGAAATTTTTGAAGGCATTTTCCTCTCTAGCTTAGCCATATTTCAACTTTTTGCTGGGCTGGCCTCAATTTTTACTCGCTCATTATTTATAGATTCAAAGAGGGGGCCTTGAGACTTTTTAGATTGCTAGTAAACTCATCGTCGCTTAGATTACTTTCAATTTTTTATACTCAAATCAACATAGCTTTTGTCGTTCCCAGCTAGTGATACATTGTACAAGATTTATAACCATTAAGCAAATGCCCAGGCTCTTTTGGGCCAGTGAATCTCAAGTCCAAGGGCTGAGTGGCAGGGCAAGTCCAATGGGGTTATGTTATAGGACTAAATGAGTTTAATACAATGGAAGCTTACCCAGACGGATATGAAAGAGAAATTTCTTGGATATCATTACTAGTAGTTTGATGACTGTTTCTCTTGAATACAAGTGTTGTGTTTTATCGAGCTTGGTCTTTTGATTTTTTCCGTTAATAATTCTTGCTTGCAGAAAAATTTTCTCGTCATTTAGTCATCCACATACCAAAGAGTGCTTTCAAGGACAACTCACATGCTGGTGCATTTGTTGCTGAGGTATGTATTAGTAAGAGGCATAATTGCTATTAACATCAGAAAAAAATTATAAATGCTCATATTCAATTTCAAACTGAAGATATTGATAAAATCTGCTAATAGTTATTTGTGTTTAATTTAATGATTATAGATTTTCAATTGTGATTTTAACCTTGTCAATTAATTCTGTCCTCCATGCATTACGGTTATATAATGATTATATATATTTTGCAAATTCTACATCATCCACACCTTCTTTTGGCTGCCTATAAGAAAATTCGCTATTCTGTTCCTAAGATCTTTTATCATCTCTCCTGTGGAAATATCAATTGTGGTTACTGTTTAATGACATCTATCAGATATGCTCAAGGATTATTAGTGCGAGGGAAAGGGATGGAAAGTATGAAGAATTGTTTATTTCAAAAGACTCATGCTCTGGTGACATCCCTTGCCAGCTTTTTGTGGATACTGCAGTCTATTCTAGAAATCGATGTTTTCGCTTACCTCTATCATCAAAAGCAGGGAAGAATTCTTTTCTTGTACCGACAGAGCGTTTTAAATGTAAGGGCATGGTATGGCACTCCTTTCTATGTAACATTCATAATTAAATTTTGCATGGATTTTAAATTTTTAAGTCAATCAACGTTGGCAGTGTCTTTAGATGGATAATTTTTTAGTAATTTTCCTTCAATATTATAACTAATGTATGCTAATAATTTACAGAGCGAGGAAGGCGTATTCATGGAATCCTTGATCTGCAATATGGATGTTGACTGTGAGAAGCTTCTAATATGCAAAATGGATATTGATTGTGTTAAGGCCCTTCACTTTGACACAGAGGTACTTTTGGGTCTCCGGTTAAAATTTTCTTATTTTGTGATCCTTTTTTTTCTCTTTAACCTGTCTATTGATGTCAAATGTATGGTACTCGTAAGACATTATTGTTTACTTTGAAGAATATTGTATTTGTTGCATTGAAGCGCTGATTTATTCAACAATTGAAATTCTTCTTCTGCAGATAAACAGCAATTTCCATGTACAATCTGCTGCTTCTCAAGAATTTGCATTGAACACTTGCATAAATGATGTTTCGAGAACTTATTTGATGGGAAAATCACCATTCCCAGCTTTGGACATGTTCATAGAATCTGTCGCTTCTATCGGAAATGTATCAGGTTGTACCTTGTTCAGTGAAACATATTTTGCCTTGCAAACATGAAAATATAAAAAATAAAAAAGTCTTGTTTCTCTGTCATATTTTACACATTGAGTACCTAATTTGGCTTCTATCTTGCTATTACTCATTTACTTTAGCTATAACAGTGTGCTTGTTAGGCAGTGCTGTCTGGCAAACTACATTTTTCTGGTAGACAATGAGTCATGGGTTTCTCAAGTTACCCAGCCAAGGAAACTATATTATCTGTTCTCTATAATCATGTTTAAGTTAAAAATAAGCTTCTTAAACACTTGTTTAAGCATGTTCCACTGAATTTTCTTACAAGGTCTAATAAACATTGTGCTTTTATAAATCTGGAAGACCCAAAATCAGCAGCCTTTCAAATCCTGTTGCTATGAGTTTGTGCATGGTCAAGAATGTAACCTCGATTGTTCTCTTTTCCTTTATGAGGGGAAGTGATTTATCTTCTTGTGTGTATCTTGAAGGGTTATCCTTTGGCTGTCTTTGACTATAAATTCCTGTTAACTTATTGTTTAAATGTGAAATGCGTCTCCTTATATATTTTTTATTTGTTGCAATTCTAGGAAAAATTCGAAGTTGGTATTGGTTCTCAGAGTATGCATTGATGGTCTACAGCATGTCAAGGAATAGATACTGTGAACGAATTGGTAGACAGCATAAGAGTAATCATGGTAAATTTATTTGTTTCACGATTCATATCCTGTGTGTTTTTTTAAGCCATAATCTGACTGAACTTATATTCAGTTTGTATTGTTATCCAGAATTTTACGAAGCAGTACATATGTGTTTCAATAGCATCTGATTTTTCTGTATACATATACATATAGTAGATATTTATTGGGGTTGGTTGTGTATATATATTTCATAATTAGGATTTAGGATTTATTTTGTCGTCTCATTATACCCAAAAAAGAAGAGTTTTATGCATCTTACTCTAGTACCTTTATGACCACCTTGTATATTGTTAATGGCCTTACAGTTGAAGGCTGGAAATTAGAATACATGACTTAATGGGCAATGTGTGTGAAAAACACTTGGTGAGAAATTAGCAAGGGTTGCTTAAAGTTCTAGATTCTATATTTCATTGATAGGGTGCTGATCTTGCTGGAGAAAAAATCTTCATTTCATTTGCTTAGGATCATTTCGTGGTGATATTTTCCATCTCTCAGGTGAAGAAGACCTGATGGTACTTCCTCACGTTCCAAAGTAGAAGGTCGAGGGTTCAAGTCCTCTTAGAGGCAAAGTGGGCTTGTGAGTGAGTTTCGTGCCAAGGTAAAAAAAGAGTAACACCTATAATACTGGGTTTTTGGCCCTCCACAAGTAGCACATGCCCGGTCATACTTTAGGCCCATATTCTGGATATGAGGTCCCAGAGAGATATTCCAGAGGAATATTGCTTGTATCTTTTGATTCCTACTCGAAACACTTGACTGCACTTGTTTTACACTTACATTATTATTTCGAAACGCTTTATATCTAAGATAATACTGGCTAATGTGCATTGTTTTTTTTTTTTTTCCTTCTTCTTCCCTTCTTCAGTGATGTATGTTGTTGACCTGCAAAGGGCTGTTTATTATCAGAAATGCTATGATCCTGATTGCAGAGGTGGAGAACAATTATATCTTGTTTTTAGCTTATTGATTGTAGGACAATTTAACACTTAAGTGATCAATTGCTGAGTTGATGAATGGTACAGGTTACCGATCCCCATTGCGTCCAATTCCAGTGGATGCCGTTCCTGATTCTAGAATTTTCTTCAAGTCTGTGGGGCATAATGAAGGATCCATGGATAATACCCTTCAGTTTCAATCTGTCGAAAAAGGTCAGGAACATATACCACCTTACAGTAATGAAAGCATTATAGACAGCTGCAAGAAAGACGGGTGGTGGCTCGAAGCTATAAGTTATGCAGACAAAATTGAGAATATGCAAAAAACACTGGATCTCAGTGGCATGGTTTGTAACTTTTCTTTCCTCAATGTCTAGTTCTATTGTTGCCAGACTTCATTTCAATGCATATCTACATGCGAAATGACTAGTCCATGTAAATGTTTATCTGAAAATATTTTCATCAATATTTGTGTTATTACATTAAGTTCTTTTTTCTCTCCCCTGAGGTTAAAGCTTACTTTCATGTCATTTACTTATTTTAAATAGTGTAGTTTCGTTTAGATATTCTTGAGCTCTGTCCTTAGACATAAAAACTTGAGGTTCGCTCAAAATTGTGCCTATCCTTCCAACACTCGTCTTTCTGTTCTAACTTAATTCTTCCTCTGTTACTGGAACAGGATGAAATACATGACTATGATGAGGAAGACTGGTGGTTGGCGGTTGAAAGGACTACATCCCAGGCCGAATTAGCATACCAGGGAGATGCTTAACTATTGCAATGGTCAGTTGAAAAATAAGTGCAATTTAATAGCTGTTACATTAATGCCAAAACAGTAAGCAATTAGAGATAATAAAGATGTCGAGTATGTCGGAGTTACCTGCTGTCGAGTATTATCAGATAAGGGGTCCATGGAAATAAAATAAATAAATAAATAATGCTCCTTATACAGGCTTCGATTCATGTATCATAACCTCTATTGATATGTTTCATGGGACTGAAAACTCTTGTAGAGTTCAGTTCCGTTATGGATCTGCAGATCCCTATTGTAACCGACTTGTAGATTAACTTGGTGAGGTTTGTAAATATGTTTGGACTTTGGATCACTTCCCCACTTCAAACAATATTTGTTAGCACAAGCTATACACTTGACAGATTGACTATTCAGTCAAGTAGAATTGCTTACTTTTATGAAACAACATGCAGGATACCATATGCTTTTCTGCATTTTTATGTCTGATATTCTATAATTGCAGAAATTGTACCTTCGTGAGGATTGTTTTAACTTTTCTACCAGGTTGTGATAAGGAGGCTATTACTCGGTGCTGGTTTGTCTATGGTGGTTCATGACTATTCTCCGGTGACATTGAGTTTTTAATCTTATTCTAGTGTAAAATTTGTCCATCTAAACTTTTACCTTTCAGCAAAAATGTCCTATATCCGAATAAGCAGTGAGGTAAATTTGATATGATTGCAACTGAGGCAAAGAAAAATTGGTCAATCATTATCCAATATATAATGAAGTGAAGAAAGTTTACAAAGGTATTTGAAGGATGAGAAGGTGAAGTTGGCCCGAATTGTGAGGGGCAATATCTTCCAATGGCGGTGCATTTAGGAGTCTTCCCGTTTTTCAGAATCTGAAACCGAGGAGAGTAATTGAGTATTATGTATGCAAAATATGGAGCGAGAAGGAAGAGACCACTGGTCATGTGCGTTTTGATTATCCAGTTGCAGTAACAGTATGGAAGATGAGTCCTCATCTAAGGTTGGAATGGGGTGCTCCTGGTGACTCTTGGATTCAACGATGGGTCTTTCTCGTGAACTGATGGGAGAGGGCTGAAGATTTGTTGAGCTTTAACTTGTTTTATTTGTTGGCAGATTGGGAAAATGAGGAATGAATGCGTCTTCTGTGGAGACGAGTGTTACATGATTCTCGTGATGTTTCAGAAAGAACAGTGTTTTATTACCAAGAAGATGGTCGGCACAGGAGTGAGCAGGTGAAACAATGCTCATCTTCTTCTCCAAAGCAGAAGGATCCACTGGTTGGTTGTCTCGAGTTAAATGTTGATGCATCAAGCTTTTGTTGAAGTGGCAAAATTTAAAAGTAGATATTGAAGGAGACTGCTATTGTAACAAGGGTCATTTTGTCCCACATCGGAATCGGATGGGAAAGAGATTGGGTATAAATGGGTGAGTATGCAGCTTTATCTAACAGTTCGAGCTTTTGGGTAAATGTGTAAGCGCCCACCCTCTACAGTTTGTATCAGAGCCAAATCCAGTCTTTGATCCGGTGTCACGCTCAGAGCCAAACCCAGTCCTTGATCCGGTGCCACGCCAAGCGTCCGGGTGAGTCCACCCGGGTAGGCAGGGTGGTCCAACCGCAACGAGGGCGTTGCGAGTTTGGGTGGGGGAGAATGTAACAAGGGTTATTTTGTCCCACATCGGAATCGGATGGGAAAGAGATTGGGTATAAATTGGTAGGTATGTAGCCTTACCTAACAGTTTGAGCTTTTGGGTAAATGGGTAAGCGCCCACCCGTTACAGCTATCCAGTTGTGGCGCTCACCCGTTACAGCTATCCAGTTGTGAAGCTCACGGTGTTATATAGATTATGTGAAGGAGTTGCTGGCTTTTACACGAATTGGTTGTAGCTCAACGCGAGCAAGTAGTATGCACTAGCAATTAAAAGTTCTATTTGGCTAGATTGGCTTTGCAATGTGTTGCTTATAGAATGTATCTCATAGTATTTATTTTTTTTATTTTTTATTTATCAATAATATTGTTTGCTATTGAAAGGAAAATAAAGGGCAAGTTTTTTTGCCCACCCGAGCTCAAACCCCTTCCTCTTTTTATTTATTTATTTTAAGTTTCGGTTTTTTTTTTTTTTTAAATTTCAGCTTCCTTATATTTAAATCTTAATCTATTGATATTTTAAATAATTAATTCTCTTAAGAGTAAGAGAGTTTGTTTTGCAATGTTTACAAAATAAAATTGGCTCCATGTTCAAACTATAATTTCAAGTCTCTGAATACTGAAGGATCAGTGTGGGCTCCGACTTGACCCGGCTCCGGAGTCAAGTCACACCCATGCACGGAAGTCAGTCAAACCTTTCAGATTTCCACATGCATTTTTCCATTTCTCCTCAGGCTTTCGAGCACTCACCAATGGCAACCAGAGAAGACCCATCAGCCCACACAACACCCAATAACGCCGCCGCCATGACACCACCAATATTCATCGACACACCCACTCTCCGCTCACTCCTCTCCTACAAAACCCTAATCCACCACCTCCAAACGTCTCTCCCCTCCGCCTCATCCACCATCCAATCCCCAATCCGCCAATCCCACCAAACAAGCCCTTCCTCCTCTCTCCTCCTCATGCCCTCCTGGTCTCTCTCCTCTTCCCTCCCTTACATCGGCGTCAAACTCGTCACACACCACCCCCACAACTCCACCCTCAACCTCCCCGCCGTCCACGCCACCTACGCCCTCTTCAACTCCCTCACCGGCCAACCCCTAGCCTCCATGGACGGCACAGAACTGACCCTCCATCGAACCTCCTGCGTCTCCGCCCTAGCATCAATGTACTTGGCCCGTCCCGAATCACAAACCCTCCTCATGATCGGTGCTGGCTCATTAGCCCCACATCTAATCCGGGCCCATCTCACAGCAATACCCACTATCAAGAAAGTGATCATCTGGAATCGAACGCTCGACAAGGCTAGAAAATTGGCCCAAACCATGTCTAGTGATGATCAATTGAAAGGTTTGTGTTTCGAGAGTAATGGGTGTTTGGAGGAGGTGGTGGGCGCGGCGGATATAGTGAGCTGCGCCACCAATTCGGAGACGCCCCTGGTGAACGGAGCTGATTTGAAGGCGGGGACGCATTTGGATTTGGTTGGGTCGTTTCAGCATTCGATGAGGGAGTGTGATGACGAGGCGATTAGGAGGGGGAGAGTGTTTGTTGATAACGCGGCGGCGATGGAGGAGGCCGGCGAGCTGGTGGGGGCGTTTGAGAGGGGTGTGATTTCGAGGGAGGAGATTGGGGGGTGTTTGGTGGAATTGATCAGGGGAGAGAAGGTTGGGAGGAGGGAGGATTCGGAGATCACTGTGTTTAAATCTGTTGGTTCTGCCGTGGTTGATGTTGTTAGTGCTCAATTGGTGTATGAGACTTACATGAAGAATGATCAGTCTCATTAATCAGCTAATCTATTGCTGTTGGCAAGTTGTCCATGTTCTGCTTATATTGGAACTTTGTGGAGTAGAATAATTATCAGATTCTGAGAATTTTGTAGAAATATTGATCAAACTTTTTGTTATGAACGAAATCATGTATGATTTTGTGTTGATGTTCTCGTGTTGTAGAATAATGATCAGAATCATGGCCTTTTTTTTGCATATATGCCTTTATGACATCATCAATTTGACATATTATATCATGTTATATGTATATGTATACATCGTCCAATGGAGGGTGAAATTTTTGAACCAATGGAATAATCATGCAAGGTGAAGATGTTCCATCCTAGCTATTGTTTGATAAATATAACTATGCCTGGTGAAGAAAAATCCTTGTTGAAATGTAACGGACTTAGACGATTATAGATGTAAAAATCTCCTTATCATGGTTTACCTATTCGTTGTAAACTCGCCGAAAAGATTAAGAAATCTCTTCCTCGCGTGTACTTTTTTAATATTAAAAATAAATTGAAAAAGAAAAAAATAATAACCAACTTTTTAAAGTTAAGTCAAATTGATACATCAACTGTAAGGAGGAAAGTTCCTTAGTCAAATTGTTATCAACTGCGCGGAGGAAATTCCTCCTTACAGATAAAGATGTAAGTATTATTCATATATACATTAGATGCACAATGCTACAATTTGGGAAAGACATTGCATGTACAAGGGTCACTCTTTTCATTAGGGTGGATGAAATTCCATCTGTTCCTTAGTCATAGTTTGGTATCAATTTTTTTCCTTAATAATGTCAGATTCTTAGTCAAATAGTTCAATCCACCTCAGAAGAGGTGCCAATATATACCTCCCAACCAACCAGACTAGCATAAACACATGGGATCATGGTCTGTAGTTTGAGTCAAAGGTTAACAAAAGAAAGGGCAAAGCAATGGACTTTCATTATGGTTATTTTGAATTGAACAAATACATAAGCCGGAACTGAACCAAAAAAAAAAAACTGCTTTATCGAGCTCTCAGCCTACAGAACATACAGAATTATAAACAACAATTTGGTACTCAACATCATCACAATTCTGTTTGTTGAGCTTCCTTCTTTTTTTCCGGTCTGTGTTGGATCCTTGGGAACAATATATCATTCAATTGTTTCTCCGCACTATACACTGAAGAGGCCTGCAAATAAAACAGTTCAGAAGGAAGAAGAAAATTATCATCTATAGGTCATTCTTATGCTTGGGCATCTAACATTCAATTGTTTCTAACACTGAAAAAAGAACCCAAAAATAAATAAAAAATGACCAGAAAAAAATAAATAAATAAGAAAGGATACTTTTGCTTTTAATTTTTTTGTGGCTTTTGTTAACATTGCATACAAATAGTTCCCCCTAGTTTGTTGGCATCTAATGTTTCCTTCCTATCATACTTTTATTTAACAGTCTGTATGCTAATGCAGATTTCATGTTGGTTGCATTGCAGTTTTGTGTCTGCCACCTCTAAAATCACAAACTTATTATCAATTCTAGACGGTAAAAGGTGTGCGGAACATGCATGCAGAATTATATGACAAATTTGGAAGTTTTTAAGGAAACATGAGGTGAGGGATAAACTAATACCCGCTTTTTAAATGCAAACCTCAACGTCTGAACTTGTGTTCCAGAGCAAACTCTCAAGTCAAAACCCAGGGTATCTATACCAATGAGTGTCGCGTCCTGTCATAAATTACCATAAAGGTTAGACATATGGGCATATGGCATATCAATTTCTATCAAAGAAGCTCACTCAAACATTTGGCAATCAAAATAAAGTTTTTAGTGTTGTATGAACTTTCCTTGAGTTCATGTAATTCCACAATTATTATAATATCAAAGAACTAATATCTCTTTCTGAACACGAAATTTCAAAAGTTGCATTTACAATGTCTCAAATTATTTTGCACAAAATTAGAGTATAAAAAAGAGATGAGTGTTGAAAAAGTTCAACAACGGTTCACTTCTCCCGGTGGTAAATCGTCATCACCATGGAGCTGTGACATCTTTCCAAATCCTATCAACTGCCAAATAAAAAATAATAATAATAAAAAAAGAAAAAAAGAAAGACAGCTTGACCATATATATATATATATACACACAGGAGGTGTTAATTTCCAAATAACAGTAGCAAAACCTAACTTTTTTCATTATCTGCATTTGATAAGAATGTGAGACCATTTTAATACGTTAAGAGTACGAGCAACGACTTGGACCTAGATGCCGATGAATAGGTAGATAATATTGTGAACTTGACTAACTTTTTGAATTTATGTTAATTTTTATTTGAAATTCAGTTGCTTTGTTGCGACGATTGATTTTTGAATTATGGTTTATATCTGTAGATTTCAATTTTTCATAAATCACAATTATGCATATATAGAAAGGGGTCAAGTGTAGAAAACACCCCTAAAGTATGGTTACAGTGCATATCACACCCCACACGTGTAAAAAACACTCCTAAAGTTTCAATTTGGTGCAAATAGGTCCCTCTGACAAATTTAAACCCTAAGTTGACTAAATTACCCTTACTGAAACATTTTGTAAAATGTATAAAAATAAATTATTTTGTAAAATGACCGAAAAGGACACTATTAGAAGATGCCCCTCTCATGCAAAAAACACCCCTAAAGTTTCAATCTGGTGCAAATAGGTCCCCTGACAAATTTAAACCCTAAGTTTACTAAATTACCCTTACTGAACCATTTTATAAAATATATAAAAATAATTCATTTTATAAAATGACCGAAAATGACACTATTGGAGGGGCGCCGACAATGGACAAGTAAAGATAAAAATATAAAATAAAAATAAAAGTATAAAAGAAAAGTAAAGATAAAAATAGAAAATAGAAAATAGAAAACAAAAATAAAGTGTAAACTAAAGAAAACAAAATTTTTCCAAACTCCGAAAACCAGTGCACACTGATATTGGGATTTTTTTTCTTTTTTTTTTTAAATAGTGCTGGTACGAAAAAAATTAAAATAAAGAAAAAAAAAATTTAGTAGAAAAGAGTAAATTGGAATTTCAAAAAATTCAAATCCTTGTTCTACAAATTCTTAAAGTTTTAAAAAAAAATGTTAAGAGATATATATAGAGAAAAAAGTTTCAAAAAAAATATGTATATAAGGTAATGTGCACATAACACTCCTATACTATGAAATAAGATTAGCAGCATATATACCCCCTTGGGCATTTTCGGAAGAGTAAGAGGGCAAAACGGGTATTACAACACTAATTTATGTCACAGGGGGTATTTTTGCACAATGTGAAAAGATTAGGGGTGTTTTTTGCTTAATTTTTCAAATAGGGGGTAAAAGTGCTACGCGGAATATACTTTAGAGGTGTTTTCTGTATTTATCCCATATAGAAAGTAAAGTAGAGAAGAGCGCACACGATACGTGGAAAACTCAAATAAAAAAAAACCACAGGACCTAATCCAGCATGGCACAATCCCCTATACGAGTAAGATATTACAACTATGTTAATGGTTCCCTCACCCTAGAACCCCTAGTTACCTCTTGGAATTAACTGATGCCAAACTTTCCCAAACAGTCTCCAAGCCATCCGCCCGCTCGTTAACAAACTTTGTTCCTCATGAATCCGCTTCTCCAGTGATTATTCGCGCTTTCTGCTTTGACAATTGATCGGTTGAATTGCATCAGATTGTTGAATTCCTCCTTAATGAACACTCAATTTCATATATTGTTTTCTAAGGACACCCTAAACTGAGTCAATTGGGAATTCTCCTTCTCTCTCAAGGATTCTCTCTCTCTCTCTCTCTCTCAAGATGATTAGAGACTTCAAAACCATACCTAGATTGACTATAACCCATATTTATAGCTAATATAGGCAACCCAACATTTAAGTAGGTAGAGTCCATGAAAAATTTCATTTTGGGAGAGTTTCCAAAATAAAAAACCATTGGGTTTGATTGATCAACCTTTCAATCAAACTCCACTTGACTGACAATCCATCAACGCTTAGATCGAGACATACTGGTTCTCAAAAATAAATAAATGAATAACAATTGCAAAATCTCGTTGGTCGACCATTCAATTGATGGGTATAGGGAGACGTTAGATTGATCAAGCATTGAATCATTAAACACTGTTATCCAGTTTAAAAAAATAATTTTGAAAAATGTGTAAAACGATAACTTTGAAATGCCGTTTTTCAAAAACAAATTTGAAATAACTTTACGAGTCTTACCAAGATCAATCTAGGTCAATTTAGGTCCTTCTAAGGTCAATTTAACTTTGGCCTAGATTCGTGATTGAGGATGCATCTCTCCTGCCTTGTTCTTTGCAATTTTGTGTCTGCCTTGTCTTCAATGAATGTAAACCAACTCAAGACACTTTGACACATTACAAGACACGTTTTGAGTAGGAATTTGCCAACACATTACACATATATCTAACAACATCAATAACTTGGCTACAATTACATATCATTTAAAAATTTTAATTGACAAGCTCAAGCATGTTACCTCCACTTGAATACCCTTGCATCTCCAACAGATTGATTTGAGGGCCTGCATGGTCTTTTCTCCACCAGCTTTAAGACGAGATATAATTTTGGCAGCTGAATGCGCAATAGCATCAGGCCGAGCTTTCCCAAAATCTTCTACCTCAACCAGAGTCTGAGAAGAAGTTGAACAAAGAACATTTTTATTTTCCTTTGTTGGTCAGAAAAGGTAATTGACACCTACACCCACCCAACCCCTGTGGGTGCCTTCATCACTGAGCAAAACAAATAAAACGAGAATCTTATTGCAGAAAAGTAAAGTTTTTCTTTTCTTTCTTTCTTTTCTTTTTTTTTTTTTCCTAGGCAGAGAAACAAGAAATGGTATAAAATGAGGTAATAAGCATCTATTCTAAAACACAATCAATCGATATATAAAATATATGGGCAAAATTGCTAGAGTGCAATAGGGTATGGATTCAGTATTTATTTCACATCTCCACATATTCTCAGTTGTTTAAAGGTATATTTCTCAGGCCAACTGGTTGATATAGAATATACTAAAGAATGCTCATGACAGAAGGTGCAAATTTATTATCTGAAGCATCATGTAAATGATGCTGCATGAAACTTCACTCGATTAATTTGCTAGACAGGTGGACCGTTACATTCAACAGTAGCAGAGTGCATAGATGTTACACTTGAATGTCCAAGATAGGCTATAAGAAAGCATATTTCAATTACGGCACAAAGAATCTCTACTTGGTTTCTGAGATTTCTGAATAGCATCTGTGCTTTTGTCATTGAGCCAGAATGTCCAAGGCTCTTATGAATATTCATAATAACAAAATGTGCCAAGGTCCAAAAGAAGCTGACAAGTGGTCTATCTATCTAAGATGCCCCAATGAACCTCAAGATGTACCTGATGTCCATGCGCAGAAATCAACTGAATCTTAATCATCTCTAGCTTGTAGAATGAAGTTCCACTTTGCAGGCTTTCGTCCTTCTCTGAATCCTCTGCCCGATTTGCGCTATTTTCAGATGGCCCTAGCTCATGTATTTGGCCATTAATAATGCCAAAGTATTCCACTTTGTCTTGTACAATTTCCCCAACCTGAGTTGTGTCACAATCACTAGACTGTTGATCAGATATATGTTTCTGGATGACAGAGTCTTCTTCAATAAAGGCAGGTCTTAAAACGCCTTGAATAGCAAGACCAGCAGGAGGCTGGTCCATAAAATCTATTGGATCGTCTGACACAACCTGTGATTGAACAAGTTCACCCAATAAATAGAATAGTAGAAAGAAAACTGGCACAAAGAAGAAATGAGTATCAAAAAGAATGGTGAGATTTGTACATTACTTGTGTAATGGTAAACAGCTGGAACTCAATAATCCCTTTAAGAATTTATTTTTTACGCCATCATAGTATGAAAATAACACTTTCTTTTTACTCCATCATAGTAAAAAAATAATACTAAGGACAGTTACCTCAGCCACCTTTTTGGCAAAATACATTGGATGAGAAGCACGCATGGTCTCCAATTTTGCCCAGTCCCCAAGTGCTTCATCAGCTCCCTCATCATCAAGAATGGAAACCCAGTCCTATACGTAGGCATATAAATTAAAATGAGTAATGGCATTTAGTTTAAGTCTCAAACGAGAAAAGTACAAGAACTAAAACAAAAAGTTGCCACCGTTTCATAATTGTCATCCTCATCGCTTTCATTATCGTCGTCCTCATCATTGTCATTGTCAGAACCACTATCTTCATCGTCAATATCCTCTATACCAAAATCAATCCCTGATTGACCTAATAACTCCATCTCACTAATCATTTCTGAAGTATCCAGGCCTATTATGACTTGCTGCATGGTGTTGAAAACAAGTAAGCCTCCCAAACAGCTAAGGGATGTTCAGATGCACCTTGTTGTCTATTATAAATTACTAACAGGAAAAGTGTTTTTCATTGATTTTATAGTTTCCTAAATTATTTTTCGATAAGAAACAATAGATCAAAGATAAGCATGCCCATGATGTTGGTGCACAGGAAGGGGAGGTGGGTGTTGTGTTCATCAGGCAAGGAACTTGTATGTCTCAATACTTTCAGTGACAATCATTTGGCTAAGCAAAAATAAAACCAAAAAAAAAAAGTAGAATAAACCAAGTCTAATGCAAGTTTTTGAGAAACATAGGAAAAAGAATAGGAGTTCATATATATATATATATATATATATATATATATATTAATTATTAAATTAGGTCACTAACATTTATATATATAATCTAAACACAGTATTAGCATGTCATAATTTAGTAAAGATAGATCACAGAAGACATGTGGAGAGAAAGAGAGAGATGTGCAGAGAGATGGGGGGGGAGGGAGAGAGAGATTCACCAGTAAACTAATTCAATAAACAAATAATTAAGTTATTTAACAAAATGTAATTTGCTTTACAAGTATTTATGATACATGTGTTTACAAAGCATAAGAATCTAAGGCTTTGTTAAAATTAAAGGAATTGGAAGGTAAAGAAACAAAAATAAATGGAGGGATAACATAACTCATGTTTGGTTTTAAAATGGGGAAGGAAAATATGAAAAGGAGGGATAAAGAATTTATCTATATATATATATATATAGAAAAGTAGGGATAAAGAGAGATTGCTTAACCACTCTTAACACTGTTTTCACTATCCTCCTAAAAGTGTATAAATCGAAGGATTTTGGGGGAAAGGAGAAGGAACTTAGTGACTAGCCCTTATGGCCCTTTCTAAGCACATGATAAAACATCCATTTCCTTTCCTTTTCCTTCATAATCTTTCCAAAACAAAGTGAAGGATTACCAGTATGCTTTCCTTACTTTTCCTTCCGTAAATATACTTTTCCTTCCGTAAATATCCAAACACGATGAGGAGTTAGCACAACCCATCCCCATCTTTTCTTACATATTTAATGCTATAATTTCATGTCCCTTCTGTTTATCCAAAGAATAGTATACTATTGATGACAAATATCCTAGTATACACATCCCATGCATTTGAGCAAAAGATAGAAGCTATATCAGATGAGTGATGTAACAAAAATAGTCGCCTGAACAAATGTTCTGTGAAGAAAGTGCTTTCAGTTAAAATAAAAAAATAGAAACTAATTTAGCTCCAATTGTTCCCATGGTACGTTGACTTCCTAAAAGTTGCTCATGTTACTTATCAAAAAGAAAACATGTTGCTAATTTAATTCTAAGAACTGATTTTTATTTATTTACTTATTTATTTTGTTAGATAAAGAAATCCTCAATAACGTTAAATTCCTCTATTTGCCACTATCCTTCCCCAATTGATCTCGTGATTCTCACAAGTTTCAATTAGTTGAAAATAAAACAAACGCAACAAGAAGAAAGAGAGTCATCCATAGCTGTTTATATAAATATGGTTTAGTGGCAGAATAGAAGGTCCAACAAAATAATAAGACTATATGACAATGATAAAAGGCATTGCCTTGACTAGAGCTAAATAAGATAAAAGATTCATTTAAAAGAAACACAAGAAATAGGTTCCTCAAGTTGCATTTAAACTCAGTTTTGAGTTAAATGACAACCAAAACTTAAAATAATAAAAATGAAAAGGTCTTTATGCATCATCCACACCACCTTAAGATGAACACAGTTGTGTGAATGCTTATGTGCATACATTGGATAAGTGAGTTTGCTAGAAGTCCACATTCCATACCACATAATTATCCTCAGATGCTAAGGTTCGAAGAACGTCCTCGTCATTTTTCACCTGAAAGTATATATCTGAAAACAAACCAAAAGCAAAGAATACTTCAATAAAATAAACAAGGCTAAAGGTCATTAACCAGTGCTACTCCCGCCAATATAGGGTGTCGGGAGGCCGCCGACCACAAATGAAGACTAAACATAAGAGTGACTACATCAAACACCCAACTTACATCCATGTTCATCAGTTACAAAAGGCAAATCTGGCCAGAAAATGTTCTCATGAACTTCATCATCAATAAAACCTGAAAACATTAGCGTCGCTTTGCTGTTTACCTGACAGTGACATGCTAGAAGCAGCATTAGCTATGTGCAGATAGCCAGGCACACAATTGATAAAGAAATGTGGAGCTGAAGAGATGCCACTAATTATGATTAAGACAGCCAGGCAAACAATGTCCCTTTTATAAATTAATTCAGTAGGTGAACTCATTCCAAAAAAAATAACTACTTATACTCAACCCTTGTGTAATTATATCCTTTTTCCATTAACTTTCCCGGAAGAATCAATCAAATTAGATAATGTAAAATCCCCAAGATAGCAAGTAGCACTTTCTTTTTGTTTGATTTAAAAGAAACTCCTTCTAGAGGCCTTATGAAGTTATTCATCTTTTTTTTTTTTATTAATTTTATAATTAAGCAAATTCAAAAAAAGGCATTCAAAAGGGGAACGCGTCCCATCACTTTATGAATGTATTCATCTAGAATAATTTATCATATTTACCATCACTTTTGAGCTCATTTAGGACCTGTTTGGACGTCCATTGAATTCAAATGATTCTGTTTACCATTTATATGTCATCATAAAAAAGTATATCGTGAATGAAGCCATTAATAAAATTAAGGAACTTCAGTACAATTCTTCCGGTCATTTTTAAATTTTCTCAAAAGTGAAAATCAAAATTTTTAGGCATAACATTTGAGATCGGTAGCTATCCTTCTCAACGGGTGTCGCTCTTACGCTTCGAGCGCACTCTCGCTCTCACGCTCCACGCGGTCTGGCTCAAAATCTCACTATTTATGACTTAATTCTGCCGTTCTCACGCTCCTGCTCTCGAATTTGCTCTCGCTCTCGCTCCCGCTTTATGTGACTTAGGGCTACCGTTTCTCAAATGTCATTCAAGATGATAAAGTTTTCCCTTGGGATACTATGTAGGAAAGAAAAAGTAAAGGGTGTCAATTCAAAACCAAAGGGACATTCAAACAAGTGCTCATAAATGAGTTTATGACATTCATTTAAGACCAAAAGAATTCATTCTTCCTTAAACACACTTCACATGAATGCTTGATCCCTAAGAACTTCATAATAAAGGTTCAATTGACAAGTAGAATTCCTTTCTTAAAATCACTCTCAATTACTTAAAAATGTATAAATGGCAGCAATACCTCAATGATGGTCTTAGTAGTTTCTGCAGGGGTGAGTCTAGCCTCTTCACCCTCCACTGCTTCTGAATCCGAAATGTCCTCAAATGGATGGTACCGCGACGGCTTTGGCCCCAAAGACGAACCCGACTGCTCATCCGCAGATGCTCTAACCCTACTTTTGATCAAATTGATCTTTCTCGTGCAAGACCCATCATTTAATCTCGGAAACTTATTCCTGTCAATCAATTTTAACAAATATTGTAACTGATAATCCCATAAACAAGCTCAAACCCACAAAAACAGAACATTAATTTTCGTTGTTTGTTGAGAAAATGCATGAAAAATAAAAGGAAACTGAATTTAGAAATGGATTACAACATGAGATACAGGCAGGTTCTTTTGAGTTTTTTATTATTAATATTAGTATTTTCCTGGATTTTTCCTGGCAGCCAAACGAAAATGATGTTTGTTTGATGTAATTGAAATGAGGAGTAGTAAGTAGTGTGTACCAAGGGATGAAGAAGCTGGAGGAATGAGAGAGGCGGCGGCGGGAGGTGGGGTCGAATCCGCCGGCGGAGAATCGGACGGCGGAGGGCGGTTCGATCATCATCATTTTTGTGCGTTGGTTGCTGTGGAGATCTGTAAGTGCTAATGTTCTTTGTTTTGTTATTGCCAATGCGCCTATATTTTGTTATCCGATTGGGACTGGGGCGTAGTTGCTGAATTGTACTGGTATATGCTATTGGGGGTATTTATTCTCTGCGGTGACTCAACATTACATAGTCCCTACGTCTCGCCAAGTAAATGAGTGGACATAATAGATTGCAAGAAGCTAGGACTACAGCCCAAAATTGTAGTGGTATTACTGAGAGAACTTAAATGGTAAATTACACGGACCTTTTTATTGTTTGTCATAATTACAGATATCTTTTTTATATTTTAAAAAATTATTCAAATCTTTTCTAAAAATGAAACTAATCTACACAGACCTCCTTTCTGTTACTGTCAACCCAAGTCAATAACGGATTTTACTTATGTCATATACTAAATAAATTGAAATTCACATATTACCCTCCATCTATCTCCTCTCTCTCACACATATAAATGGTATTATAGTCCTTTACTATAATAATTTGAGGGATTTTTAATAAATTAGACAAATCTATTAGTGCATTTGATAGTCCGTCACCGAGAAGAGGTCTATGTAAGTAAATTTCATTTTTAAAGGAAATTTAAGTAATTTTCTAAACTACGTGAGATATCTCTGTAATTATAATAAATTATAGAAGAAGTATGTATAATTTACTCGAAACTTAATGCCAGGACTCAATGAAACTTTAGCAATAATGTATCCTCGAATTGAAAACATGTTTGTAAGAGGTTATAATATCATAATTTGGTAGATGTATCATTTTTATTATTATTATTATTATTATATAAGTAAGTACCAACATAATCATGCCGAATTGAAAGGTTATACCATTAACCTAATAGTCCAGATAGAAAAATTATATCACTGACCTAATTGTCTAGCGGTATGCACATAAAACCAACGAATTCAAAAAAAAATTCATTTTTAAAGTAAATTTCATGGTATAGAATCAAAGTAATTTTAAATTTTAGAAAGTTTACTAATAAAATATGTTTCTACGTAACCACGTCATTCCTTTCTTTTTGACCTCATATTCAATTGGTAAAAAGAAAATGCTTCTCAACATTTATAACAAAAATGAGGCCAACTAATCAATTTGAAAAGAAATAAGGATAAACATTATTGAGATAGTATACTGTGAAATTAATGTGAATGTGTTTCCTCTTTCTCTATTTATTCAACCTATTTTTTCAAATTAAATAACATTATTATTTGTAAAAATTAAAATACATTTATGAGAATGGGTACTTTTGTTACTAGTACTAGTTACTCCTATATTTCGAATTTGAATACAAATAAGTTTTAAAAGTTTTTAAAATATTTCCAACTACGTTCCAAAATATATTAATAATGTTTTTTCCTAACATTGTCCTTTCTTATAAATGCTTTAAATATTCTTTTCTTATTACAATAGTAATAATACTAACTATATCATTTACCTCTGATTTTTTAACTAGTATTAATTTACAATAATAATGGTTCTGATTCCCACAAAATTAACAACTTTTAAAAATATTTAACGAGTTATTTAAATTCAATCAATTGTAATAAAAAAACAAATATTAAAACAAGTCCAGAAAGCTCAACAAGTTTATTCGATGAGGTGTATTCATGTACAATTAATGAATTATTTAAATTCTTCACTTTTTTTTTTTTTAGTTGTATTGTTTAACAAAAATGTAATTTCAAGAATTAAAGGTAAATTTATATAAATTTGACTATGTTATATACATATATATATAAATAAACAATAAAAAATATATCAAGATAGCATAAAATTTTCTTAGAACTTTTTTACACAAGAGTTTGACAGTATGATATTTCTATATATATATATATATATATATATATATAAGGCAATGTTGGAAGAAAACCTAAACCAATATAAGTGGAATTATGAAATTTATTGGAAATATTAATTAAAAGTAGGATGAAGTTGTTGTCATAACAATTTTTTAAAGACTTATTCATTCTTATAATTGAAAATTACGACTAATAGGTAATTTTGCGTCTTTATTAAAAAGAAATAGGAAAAAAAAAAAAAAAAAATCTAAACAATTTTTTGTTCTTATTTTCACCTGTTTGGGGCCGCGGTATAGGGAAGATCTTGGGAGGAGAAGGGAAAGCAAAATCTGAGGGGTAAAAGGAAAATCTGAGATAGCGCAGAAAATAAAAATATTCATTCGTGAATGACACGGTTGACGACACCTCTCTCTCTCTCCCCACCATTGACGGTTAGTCTCACAACGTTCTCATCTGTTTCTCTCACTACTTTTCCCTCTGCTTCGAGCTTACTCCGGCGAACTCCAACTGCCGACTGGTAACACTTCATGCCTCTCGTTACAAGCGCAATTTCTATTCTTTAATTTCCTTGTTATGAAAATTTTGATAAAACTCAAAAATCTCAAAATTTCTTGTTATTTTTGTGTTATTCCTTCTATATTGGTCACTGAGAAGTTTTAGAATCAATATTGACTGCAATTACTTTACAATAGAATTTTTCTTGAGGATTATGAAAGGATTTGAAGAGGCTGTTTTAGGTTATCAGTTGAATTTTCCAGTTATTTTTTCCATAAATATTTATACAAAAATTATAATGTCTCTCTTTTACAAATTTACAGGATGCTTAGTTTGAGGTACCCAGCAGCGATTTTTACCAGAAGATTAGAGTCGATTGAATTTTCCAGGAGTATTAGTAGCGTTGTGGTGAGCTTTCATTGTATATAGTTCAAGAATTGTTAAGTTATGGGTTGCCAATTAATAATACTATATACTCAGTTAAACATGCAACTTTAATTTAATTATCCCTTATTTGATTGAAAAATGATGGTAAATGAAGTGCTCAAGTTTGATCCTATATAATTCCGAAGTAGAATGGCCAAGCCATATGTAATCATATTCATTTTGTAAGTTAACCCATCGATCAAAAGGCGAACAATTTATGGAAATTTGAATCCCTCTTTAGCATGCCAATTATGCAGTCGGGGATGTGTCTCCTGCTATTAGCATTTGGTTCTTCCATCTTTGTTGAGTTGTGGATTGGCCATATTCGCATTCTGAAAACAATTGTCAATGGGGATGTTGTAGTTCTTCATTTTATTGACTCCCTTCAAAGTTGACGATTGAATATCCTTCTTTCAATTTTTAAGCCGTGTTAATTCCATCATCTGAAGTAATGCATCAGGTAACATGATGTGTGAAGAGGCGTTTCAGGGGCTGTTGACCAACTAAGTCATGATTCTCACCATTGGCAGTGGCATTGGTTACATGATTATCATCAAGTTCCATGTTCTGTTAGATACAGTATTGATCATTTCAACTAAGCTCCTTAAATATGATCTATGGTTCTTATTGTAGTTGCATGTTATCAGCTATGTGATTCATATTATGGTATTCACTTGATATTGGGAGGTGTGTTTCCCAGGCACTGTGTGTACTGTTAGCTTCTATATTATATTATTCGCAGAGTATGTTTTTTTAGTAGTGATAAGTGACCATTGATGAAATAATTGGTTCTTATCAGGTACCATGAGATCAGAAAACCTTTCAACTTTAAAAATCACAGCCTTTAGCGTTTGGTTTTTGAATGTTTATATTTTAAGAGGTCTAGTCAATGACATGGCTCATGTTATGAAAATTTGGGATCTTATAATGGATATAAGTAAGCAAAGACACTAGACTCACCACGAATTTTCTTTATCAAGGGACTTAGTAATATCATATCTTCTACCAATGGGCGATTTGGCTCGTCACATTCTATCTACTCTCAGAGAGGCAATTCCTGAGATATTAAGTATTTAGAGACATTCTTTTTCTATTTAGGTAATATAAAATTATTATACAGGCTTACAAGTAAATTAATTTGCTTTTAGGAATAGTAGATTTTTGCGCAGCTTGATGTTGAGTGGTTGCTTTAAGACTCCAAAGTATTCTTTTCTTTGCCCAAAGAAGAAATGGGACCATTTTAACTGTTAGTAGTTCTCAGGTATGTGCTGCAAAAGGTCCTCGACCAAGATATCCTCGAGTATGGAAAACCAATAGGAGAATTGGGACCATTTCCAAGTCAGTGAAGTTTGCTCAATGTGTAAGTTCTTTCTTTCTTTTTTTTTTTTCTTTTTTTTCACAACTTAGATATATTTTAGAATGGTTATGCTAATTTTTCTTGTGGGATGAGCACTTCAGGAATAATCTGTGAACCTGAACTTGTGATTATGTTTCATATTTTGTAATTAATAGCTTTTGTTGGGGCTGTGCTTCTATAGGTAAAGGATTTATCAAATGTCAAAGAGGAAGTATATGGGGCTCTTGATTCTTTCATTGCATGGGAGTTAGAGTTCCCCTTAATTACAGTGAAGAAAGCTATAAAGCTCCTTGAGACTGAAAAAGAATGGAAGAGGATAATTCAGGTATTATCTATTCAGCTAACCTTTTGTTCCTTTTTTCTGTTGGGTTTCCTCGGAAATGATATCTACATATTAATCCGATTACTATGGGGATGTAGGTAACAAAATGGATGTTAAGCAAAGGTCAAGGAACAACAATGGGAAGCTATTTTATATTGTTAAATGCTTTAGCGGAGGATGGAAGACTTGATGAAGCTGAAGAGCTGTGGATGAAGTTATTTTCAGAGAATCTGGAGAGCACACCTCGCATGTTTTTTGATAAAATGATTGCTATTTACTACCGCAGGGAAATGCATGAGAAGATGTTTGAGGTACCTTGACGATTTCATCTTTTAAGAACTTTATGATATCATAAGAAATGATTTGTATGTATTGTGATTTCCTATCTACTTGTTATTTCCCTCCTTTTAAAATCTCATTAGATATTTAACCCGTGGACCCTCTACTTTTTGGTTCCTGCCTGCTTTGAAGTGACATGATGATTTTATAGTAGAATACAGCTATCAACGGATTTGATTATTGAGTTGAACTGGTTTCCTTGGATCTGGTGGCGATAGATTGACTTTGGATGATTCAATTGAACTGATATTTGTAGAATACTCATCCTACATGGGCATGTCTACCTATATTTTTATACATGCATATACATATCTAGTGCTGTTTGTGTATATTTCTTAACAAACGGAAAAATCCTAATTTGATAGATTATGTAACCATCAAATGGATTCGATGTTTTTCTCTAGTCAAATATAAGTACACTCAGATGCAGTCTATATACAATCTGTGTTAATATTTAATAGCTGTAGTACAAAATTTATGTACCTTGGGATTTGGAAGTGCAAGGTTGTTTATTCTTACTCATATCTGCACACTGGCTTTTGCCTTATTCTGTAGATTATGCCAAAAATTGTGTGTAAAACATATTCTAGGGTTCAATATGATCTGACTGTAGCAATTTTTTGTTTGTGTGGTGTTGTGTCCACTTTTCTAAATGAGAGACATTTGATGTCAACTGCATAGAGATTATAGGCTGAGATTCACGCTCTATGCTTGTGAATGTACCATTTAATTAGTTATTGTTAATAAATTCTTGATTCCTGCCTTTGGAAGCTTACTCAGCTCTGCTGATTTTGAAAAAATCAGAAATAATAATAAGATTCCAGATTAAGTATTTGGTTCTTTTTATGCCTTTCTAAGCTCGTGCAGAAACGAGGTCAATTTCATAAAAAATCTAAAATTGCTTGGATTAATGTGTGACACTTGAGAACATAAACATAATCTTTATGCAGTATGAAGTGATGATTGTGTATTAAAAATGTTGCAGTATTTGGCTCTTTTTTGCCTTTCTATACATGAAGTAATTTGCAATTTCTTGATTTTTCATACCTGTAAGTCATAAAAATTATTATTTTGTAAATGCTACATTATCTCATGACCTTTATTTAGTCCAACATCTGTAAATCCTGTTCTTTACAATTAACAATCTTCCTTCCTGCCCCTCCCAAATTGGCTTTGATACTCATGCAGCATATAGTTGGCAAAATAGTTTCGCAATCAAATTTTGGAGCCTCTCACCCTCCCTTCTTGGATTCAACTCAAGCGTGTTTCTTGGTTGATATAATGTTCACTGGAAAAAGCGCTACCAGTATTTAGTTAAATTGCCCTGAAAATTCCGTTTCACAGTCCATATGCTGCAAGTTTTGAAGAATTTCTGAAAATTGGCCTTTGAAGAATTAGTCAAGGGTCTAAATCTTCATATTCAAGCCCAGATGCTGCAAGTTTTGAAGAATTAGTCTGGGAAATCTTCATATACAAGCATGAGAAATTTGGTTTGAGACTGAGGGCAGTCATGTCATGCAAATTATGCCAAAAGTTAGATCTGACAACTCTATCTCTTCCAGCACCCTCGATTAATGGGCCCTCACCGGATAATGGTCATTGCCTTGATTGCTTTGATTTTTTTTATATCTTTGTTTATAACCCCAAACTTAGACACTATTCATATCATCTTTTTTTCCTTCTAACATTTTAAGTTCTTGTGGCAATTAGTTAAATTTCACTGCATTTAGGGACATAACGTGGTTATTTTCTCTTATAGGTATTTGCTGACATGGAAGAACTTGGCATTCGACCAACTACTTCAATCGTTTCAAATGTTGGAGATGTATTTCAGAAGCTGGGTATGTTGGACAAATACGAAAAATTGAAGAAGAAATATCCACCATCGAAATGGGAATACCGATACATTAAAGGAAAGCGTGTTAAAATTAGATCAAAACATCTTCATAAACCCGATGATGCTGACAAGGCCGAAGATGGGTTTGATGAGGAAACTAACAAGAATTCCAGTGGAATGAGTAAGGATACTAGAATAAAATCAGATGAACTGGATGATGAAGCTAATCCACATGATAATTCTGAAGTAAGTTCAGATGAACTTGATGTACCTTTAAACTTTTCTTAACTAGCCAAAGATTCTTTATGTATCATTTCCTAATGTCATCAATTTTCTCCTGTTTGGGATGGGGGAAACCCTCATGGATTCTGGGTTGGGATTTGTTATTTATTATTTTATTTTTTTGAAGGGTAGGGATTTGTTATAACTTATATTATTCCAGATAAAATGGGAAATGATAAAACAGGACATTTTATGGTTGAGATGTCCTGGGGTTGGTGATTATAGAAATCATCTGGGATCTACAGTCAAGGTCCATCTTGAAGCAAGATAACACATATTACCCCCACTTTTATTTATTTATTTATTATTATTATTACCCTTTTTTTTTTTTTTGGGTGGCTACAATTCGTGCCGAGGTTCCTTTTGGGTACCAGAAGAAAAATAATAAATCATAATAGTCATTTACTGAATTGGCTTCACTCCCAGAAGATATCATGTGTTAGTCCTGTGCTAGCTTGTTAGTTTAATCTCCTATTTCAATTACTCCAAAGAATATATATAAAAAAAAATAAAAAAAAATAAAAACAAACAAACAAACAAAAAAACAAAAGAGTCAAAATTTAATTCCTTGTGCGTGCAGCCTTTCAAAGTTTTAAGAGTTTTGGTTAGCTTGGTACTAGTAGCAGTTTCTATATTATCTCTTCTTAGCTGACAAACCTAGTCATTCCAAAAATCATGAATTGAAAACATAAATACCCATACAGTTAAAAACAAAGTACACATTAGTTATCTTGTCCTTGGATTTGCAGTAACATCATCATTTTTGAATTCTTAAGCTACTTCCATTTTTTTTTTTAAATAAAATAAAACCAATAATACCATGCATTTTCTCAATAATCAGAAACTCAACCAATATGTTCATTCACTGATCTGGGGTCTATCAATTATTTGAGTAAAAGAACATATGGCCAAAAAAAAAATTGTAGGTGAGTTCTATTCAATGCAAAGAAATTGCACTGCAGAAAAAGGCAGGTGACTCCATAGACGAGTGCTAGAACTACGGACTTTTCGGCTATATCAAGGCTAGGAGATTTCACCAAGGCTAGGATCAACACAATGATAACAATATTGCTGTGGTGGTAACATGAAGAAACAAATAGCCTTTTTTTCTTTTCTTCTAATCACTGAAAAAGGGGCATTTTATTCCTCGTCCGAACCCGAACCTTTTGACCTGCGGCCTTTTCCTTGCAAAGTGCCGTTGGCAGCAGCGCCCTTCTTATTTGTATCCTGCTTATCATCCTCCTCATCTTCACTGTACTCACTCTCATAATCCTCGTCATATTCCTCTTCTTCAATCTCTTCTTCCTCATCGATCCCATCCTCCAAAACTGGTCCCTCCTCTGCCACATGACCTCCCCTTGTGCCAGCCCGAGTCCGTTTCAAAACTTTTACCTTTAAGTTCGTCTTCTTGTCACAGCCAACCCAAGAGTCGCACAACAAGTAACTACTCAAATTGTAAGTCCCCTCTGCTGGGGCTGGAAACTTGCCCAGTACCAGTCGCGACCCACCCTTAACCTTCTCAACTGTTTCTCTGATAGCCGCACTAGTTTCCTTCACAGTTGCTCCTGACCCTTCCATTGTCTCCTCAATTGCTTTTGAAGCAGCAGTTATTGCCGCAGCTTCATCCATGAAGATAACCTTCTGGGAAAACCAAACATTATTTGAATTGGGGTCTGCAAGCAGAAACCAGAAATTTTCTTCCTTGTGGAATGGATAATAGGGGGCATGGGGGAGAGCACCGACCAAACCATTAGCACGGTTAAGTGTCACCCAAGCCTGAACCGTGACAATGTCACCCTCTTGAATACCCTCTTCCCCTTCAGTCTCACAAGTAACATCCATTGTTATGGAAGGCATCATTTTAAGTACCATCTCTACATCTTGTACTTCAGCAGCAGAGAAACCAGCTAATTGAGAAAGCAGCTCGGCACGCTCCTCAAGAGTCATGTCCCGAAGATCCTGAAACGTACGCACCTTCTGCAAAGAAAGAAGAATTGAGTTCAAAAGGAAGGATAACAAAAAAGTTAAAATAGGAGGGGGAGAGAGAGAGAGAGAATAATTTTCTCATGTCTGACTATCAAACTAATTTTAATCAGTCCCAATAGAAGGATAAAGTTCCCCATCACCATACTCAAATGAGTAGCTGTCGCATGCTAACTTGAGGACTGAATGTTGAGACTTCGGAGGCAAATTCTAATTCTTTTGAACATTAAAAATAGGGTCTGGACTCCCTAGTTGCCCCCCTCCCTTTTTTTTTTTTTCCTTCCGTGAAACTCGAATTCCCTTAACCTCTTCTATCAGTACACCAACTCACAGAAAATATTGAACAATATCGAAACTATCTCAGTAAAATATTATCATGCATATTCTCCTACATTTCTCCCAAGTCTTGACTGCATAATCTATAGATCACATTCAGATGCTTATATTGGTAAGATCTTATTCAAATTTCTTTATTTTCATAACTGAACCAAAGCACATCCCGGAGCTTCTAGAAGCTACTAATGCAAAATAAAATAAGAGGCATAAAATGTTTAAGCATATGAACTGTAAGTTTATATGCCTGCACAAGCATGGGTAAAGTCTTCGGTTCATAATCTACCGTAATAGATAAGAACATATCTAACAGTTTTTTATTTTAAGATTAACTTTACGAGTCGCACTAAATATGATTATTTTTTATGTAATGACTGCAAAATTACTGTTTTCTAACTAAATGCTACAAAGAATAAATATAATATATCATCATCACCATCCTTACCTTTGTCCCATATAGCTGGGGTCGGCCACATGAATTCTCTTTTTCCATTCTTTCCTATTACACACTATGTCTTCTCTTTAGATTTAATTTTTTGAAGTTGTTTCTAACTTTCTAATTACCTCATCACACATAAGTTATGGTCGGCCTCATTTTCACTTGCCTTCTAGCCAAACAACTCTTCCTCTTTTAATAGGTGCATCATCAAATCTATGTTGAACATGGCCATACTGCCTAAGTCTATTTTCCCTAAGTTTATCATCTATAGGTGCTATACCTAATGTACACCTCACATGCTCATTATTTATCTTATCTTTTCTAGTTACTCTTATCATCCAATGTAGCATCCTCATTTCCGCTACATGAATGCGTTGTGCTTTTTTCAAAGCCCAACACTCTGCTCCATACAACAATGCTAGCCTAATAACCATTATATAGAATTTTCCTTTTTGCTTGTCACAAAGGATACCACCAGCTTTTTCCTCCAAATACAAAGAACGAACCTTAAATATGTGTTAAGTGTCGTACGTCAAATAGCAATGTGCACTATTACTTTGTCCCACTCAGCTACTCTATTTAACATTTATGCTTTCTTCAGTACGAAGGAAGGAAGAGGGGTGGAGGGAAGATAGGAAGGAAGGAACAAACTTCTTTCGTTCAGTAGAGGGGAGACAGAGAGAAAGGATGATAGGCATCCTTCCTCCTCCACAAATTTTCATCCCTCCAAATATGGGCTGAAGAGAGGAGGGAACACAAGTGGGGCTATTAAAAAAGTTTTATATTACAATACTATCCTTCATAAATTACAATAATATAGATAGTGTTGGGTATAATGGTAAAAACAATTTAAAACTCTCTCATCCTTTCTCTCCTAATGAACATAGTAAGTTGTCAGCTTCGTATCTTCTCTTCCAAACAATAGAACAAAAAGAGGGAACGATACAGTCTCTTCTCTAGGAATGTCTCATCCATCCCTTCTTCTCTCCCTTCCATCCAATTTTTTCCCTTCCTACCGAACGAAGCATTAGAATCAAACAAAATGTAGGGTAGTTAGGAGACAAAATGTTAATAAAATGGGTGTGGCAGAATTTTGAACGTTAAAGATGAATGTGTGGCAAGTTAAGAAGGATAAAATTAGAAACGAACATGGTCGTGGATGGTTGAAGTAGCGCCAAAAATTATATGGGTGTGGGTGAGGTTCAGGTTGAAGTTCAAAAAAAATTAGGGTTTACAGAAGTATATGCTACTGAACCCATAAAAAAACAGGTATTAAGGTGTCTCAAATCTTATTAGTTAACTTTCCAGTTTCAAATGTGGCAATCACAGCTGAATGATGAAGCTCTCCCAGTGACAAAGATAAAAAGGCACATGATATAATTGCTCTCCTTTGTGGCAGGATGAAAAATGGTATGTACTGAATTACCTTCCGGGCTAGTTTTTTTATAATAGCCTCATTAAAATGCGGCAGCTGCAGAAAAGGTGCAATGCCTTCAGTGGATCCACCAGCTGACTTCCTTGCACTGAGAGGAACAGCCTGCATCACATACCACCAGAAATAAACAACAGTACTCTAATGTAGACTAGCAAGAGAACATGAAGTCCGACTTTAAAAGATGTGAATAGCACATGGTATTATTTATGTGCGCATGTTACAAACAATGTAAAAAAGGAAAGGGCTCTACAACAAGATGAGATGCATGGAGATTTGAGATTTTAGAAACTTAAATCAAAATTTGTTAAGTTCTTACTGAATAAACATCAACATGCAAAGCATGCATTCAACAATCAGCTTTTCTTAGGAAAATGGAACATGTTTATACAACAGCGACAACAAAAACAAAATTCAATGCTTATAAACAGCATGGGCTCAAGGACAACAAATAAATTGGAAATTGCAGCATTATTTTTATTCACGGTGATAAGGGTTGAAAGGGTTGAAAGGGTCGCAGACAAAAAACATCCCTATGGTATGCATATAGAGTGTATAACCCCCTATACACTCTAAAAACTCCCTAACATTCAATTTTGGAGCAAACAAGGACATGAATGCTAAAAAGACTAAAGTGTCGCTCTATAACGAAATAAAAAATAGGTAAAATACTAATTAAATGTAAAGTGTCCCTCTTTTGTTCTTTTTTTTTTTTTTTCTTTCTTTCTTGTTCATCATCACTGCCTTGCTGCCGGCTTCCTCTCATTCCGGCAAGGTCGCCAAACCTTGCAGCAGCCTGGTCTCTACATGTAAGCAGCAACTCGCAGCTTGTTCCTCATCGGCAGGCAACCCAAGGTCGCTGCCCTTCTTCTGCCGATCAACCAGATCACTGGAGTGCGACCTGGTGAGGTCGCCAACAGTGACCCAACTCCTCCACATCGCGACCCACAGTCGTTCCTCTCACTGTGACACACCAGGTCACCAGCAGACGACCTGGTTTAGCTCACCAGACTGCACTGAGCCGAGTAGCTCGAAGCTTCACCAGACTGAGGAGCTTGCTGGTTTAGTCGACGAAGCACTCTGTTAATCGAACTGAGTCAGTATGCTCACCAAACTGAGGCATGTCGTTTGATCACTGCACTCGGTTGGGTACTGTAGCTTTTCCACCACAAATTATAGGAAGATAGACACACAATTTCAAATTATAGAAAATAAGACAATTTATATAAATTCAAATTATAGAAGATAGGCAATAAACTTGTAGAAGACAATAAACTTACAAAAGCTTGATCAGCTTTGCTTCTTATTGAATAGAAAGCACTGGAAGAAATATTACAATAGAGGAGATAGAAAAGAAAGTTGTTCCTTAACAAGGGTAAGGCCTTCCCTTTTTATATTACAAAAGGTCAGATTTCAAAATAACAATTTGAGATCCGCATAGTGCTGGGGAGTGTAATGCCAGAAATAATTGCAGTCGTTCGGTCCACCACTATGTTCTGTGTGAAAAGTAGATTCTACTTTGTTTATCCTATGGTAATAAGTAGAGCAAATAATGGCTTGGTGGAGTCACTTATTTGAGGCCTCGCATTCTGTAGAAAAACTACTGTAGACTTCATTGTCTTTTTGTGTCGACAATCCATAGTCAAGAATTTCTTTTGATTAGGTGAATGCTTTTCAGAAAGATGTCGGGTAATAGCATCCCAAAAATCTCCAAGGATTAGAGTTGTGTCGTCATCTTCCTCATGAGGATCCTGTGTTTCACCAGCTAAGCATTTGAACTTATTGACTTCTTGGGATTATATCTCTGCATGGACCAATGCTTTCTTTTACCAAAATTCTCAAAAAAAGCATACATAGCTTTATAAAATATGTCCGCAATCTATTTGGACTGAGTTTCCAAATTGGATTTTTTTATAGTAGGAAATATATGGTCCTGATCTGGATATTTTAGTAGAATCACTCGGACACTTATTTGGGTCTTGGCAACAATTCCATCCTCAATTACGAGGACAACGACGCAGTCCGATAGGGAAATCACCCCTACTTTTCTTTACTGAATTTGGAATCCCTTGGATTTGGAAATGGGATTTACAGTGGAATTTTGATGCTTTAAAACTTCCCATTCTCCAAAGAATATTTTCTTATAGATGGTGCTCTGGTTTTCCAATTGAGGAAGTTTCCCAGGTAATTGAAGCCCAATATTGATGTAGTAGCTTCTGCAGAGCAATTTGACTCTCTTAATCCTTTTGAATTAGTTAAAAGGAATGTTTGCCAACAAAATCAAAATCAATCCCTTTCAGAATCCGAATTAATGATTAAATGTATGGATTATATGAAGACTCAAATCATTAATTCTTTTGGGGCCTCCTCTTCTGCATTCAAGGATGATGCATCCATGGCCTCACCCACTTCTGCAACCAGCCAAGAAGCCAATAAGTCCAGCTGCTTAGCTGGTGAAGCACAGGATCTCGTGAAGAAGATAACGACATGACTCCAATCCTTAAAGATTTTTGGGATCCTATTACCCAACATCTTTCAGAAAAGCATTCACTTAGTCAAAAGTAATTCTTGACTACGGATTGCCTTTACAAAAAGACAATGAAGTCTACAGTAGTTTTTCTACAGAATCTGAGGCCTTAATAAAGACCTAACTCAGCAATCAATTAGCAAGTAATTCTCTCTCTACCGACATTTCAAGGCAAATACGTGACTCCAACAAGCCATTATTTGCTCCACTTATTACCACAGATAAACAAAGTAGAATCTACTTTTCAAACATAACATAGTGGTGGACCGAATAACTGCAATTATTTCTAGCACTACATCCCCCAGCACCATGCGGATCTCAAATTGTTGTTCTGGAATTCGACTTTTGCAATATAAAAAAGGAAGGCCTTACCCTTGTTGAGGCACAACTTTCTTTTCAATCTTCTCTGTTGTAATATTTCTTCCATTGCTTTCTATTCAAAATGAAGCAAAGATGATCAAGCTTTTGTAAGTTTATTGTCTATCCTCTATAATTTGAATTTATATAAATTGCACCTATCTTCCTATAATTAGTCAGCGTCAAGCCCTTCTTTGCTCATTTTTCAAACTTAACGGATTTGTATACACAATATAAAGGATAGGGGTGTTATTTGACCAAAATGTAAACATTAGGGGTGTTTTTCTCACTTTGCCCGAGTTGAAATCTTGACACCACCCTCCTTTCAATGCCATGCCAACAGTTTACCATTCTGCTATAATGGTTTTGGCAATTGTACCACATTAACTAAAATATAACCTAACAGTCGCCTCAAAACCACTCCACTCAGAAATAGGAAAAAATAAAAATACAACCTAGGGTCTAAACATGTACTTGGAATCAGTAATTATTTGCTACCAAGAATAGTTAGGTATTTATTAACAATATATTAGCTAGAAGGAGCAAATCCAAATAATGGAATATGTTAAATAAAATTAAGGGCAAAATGCGAAAAAAAAAAAAAAAAAAAACCCTGAACTATGGGGGTTTTGCAACTATCCCCCCGGAACTACAAGAAACCCCCTGAACTTTCAATTTGTTGCAATTTGCCCACTAAGACCACCAGGGAAAGAAAAAAAAAAAAAAGGACGAAGCTACCCTTCCTATCAAACGGCGCAGTTTGCTTATAATACCCTTTCAGCTCTATACACACATACATACATATATATATATATATATATGTGTGTGTGTGCACTATTCATCTTCTTCACAAGGCATCAATCCTGTTGATTTCAGAATCCCGTAACAAAAAAAAAAAGTCCTGTAGCACAACCTAGTATTGCAACCCAATCCTGCAAGGCAACCGAAGGCAACGCTGAGTTCATCCTTGCCGAACTCACCGCCAGCCCATCCCCGCCGGATCCATCACAGTCGATGTTCTCGGCTACCGTTCCATCCCGCCAAGCACCGCAGCAAGCCACTGCCGTTCCATCCCGCCGCGCCGCGCCGCAAGCTCACAGCTCATCTTGGATTGGTGGGTGCTTCACTGAAACATTGCTTTAATTCACAAAGATTCTAGTTCCGACAAGAAGTTTTTGACCATCACCGACCAAACTGACAAGGCAAACAAGGTTGCAGAGACCATTACTGGTGAGCTTCAGTTCCGCGGCGGCTTCCCCCTACCCACCGCTCCTTCCCGGAACCGACCCAGCACTGGTCCGGCCTCCGTTCCTCTCCTCCTCTTAACGACGATGGCTTCGCCCAAATCAGCCGCCATCCTTGGAGATCCATCCCCTCCTCCGACCTCAACCCCCGTCGCCGTCGCCACAACAGCACCACCACTTCCACTAGATCCATCTCCTCCTCCCTCAATCCCCTGTCGCGGCCACTACAACAGTACCACCACCTCCATACAAAAATTTGCCCCAATGTTTTTCAGATCTATTCCTTGTATATATGTGTTTATATATATATATATATATATGCGTGTACGCATGAAATTATCAACGACTAGAATTTGTTTGGCCGGGTCTCGCCGGATACCTCGTTGGCACCGTTTCTGGGTTCGTCGGCAGCAAAACGGGACTGGGATATTGTTTTGACCAAATCACGATGTTAAAGCCATGTTTGGCTTTGTTGCTTATAAGGACTGGGATGGGATACTGGAGTCAAACTATTAGAAATTAAGGGCAGTCTTGTTTTTTCATGCTTCTAAGGGCAGTATGGTCCTTTAAAAGTTGCAGATCACCCCATCCGGCCAATGTCCGGTGAGAATTAGCCGTTTTTTTTTTTTTTTTTTTTTTTTTTTTGCATAGTTCAGGGGTTTTTTTTGCATTTTACCCTAAAATTAAGAGTGGTTTTGACAATGTAAAAAAAAATGTATGTTCTGTATGTATAACCGTGAATGTGTGTTGGTGGGTGGGGGCTTGGGTGGGCATTTGTGTGTGTGTGAGAGAGAGAGAGAGGGGAGAGGAGAGGAGGGGGGATGTTGATATTCTTGAACCACACTTAGGATTTTCACACATTACTCAAGAATGATTTGCATTATTAAGCGTACAAGTAAATAATGCGACTCTACCTCTAAAACAATAGATTATTTATGCTTCATAGAAAAACAAATTCTCATGCATTATGTTCCAAAAATCAGAAAATGTTCATCATAAAGACTTTTGGTAATAGAAATACAAACCTGAATGATACACTGAGAAAGCTCAAGAACCCCAATTGCAGGCCTTAGCCAACCATGACCCTGAGCAGTGCGTGGTATAACTGCCATCTGCAAACAGAGAGTACAACATCAGTTATATTATGGACCTGTTCCAGTTCTTGTGCACATATAGAATGAATAGGAGGTTAAAGACCAAGTTTTTTATAATATAAGAATACAAAGGTTGATATGGAAGTATAGAACAGAAACACTCTGGCACATGAGAAGCTAAATGCAGGAGATCGAGTGACATGAGCATACAATATAGCATCAGTGCAAATAACCACTTAGCCACGGACTAAAATCCTCAGGATTCAACATGGTCCTGTGTAATTTTTAATTTAATATTCTTACACATCTATCTGCCCTTGACCACAGAATCTTGTGATTTGCTCCTCATTCTGAACTCAAAAGATGATGAACGGGACATCTTGCTGCCTTAAGTTAGAAAACATCAAGTAGGGATAATACTAGGGCTGAATTCCTATATTTTTCCCTGATACGCCTAGGAACATTTCCAAGAAAGAGAAAAGGAAAACCATCCTATATTCCCTCAAACTAATTCCACTACAGAAGTCTCTTGGTGAATGAAATAGTGGAAAGGTTATGGTGGAAGACTGGAGAATGGGTCATGACCCGAGAGATTGAAGTGCACATGATCTGCACCTACTATTGGCGAGAAGGAAAAGATAAATAGAATTAGGGATTTTTGTCAATTAGGGTTTACATATTTTTGTTTATTATTATTATTTTGGCAATGTTTTAATTCCAAGGATGTTTTAGTAACTTAATATTTAGGGTTTTATTTTAGATAGTAGAGTTTGATTAGGGTTCTACTTTGACGCCTATATATATGTCACTTGTGACATTGAGTAGAAAACTTTTGATGGTTATGATGAATATTGAATTGAGTGATTACAAATAATTCTTCCCCCACTTTCATCTTCTATTGCCCTATTTCTTCTTCTTCTCCCTTTCTCTTCTCTTCTTTCTTATTCTCACTCTCAAATCAATATCAAATAAGCATTATCCGTTTTGCATCAGTTTGGTATCAGAGCACTACTCTATTCAGCACCAATTTGGTATCAGAGTACTATCTCCTGCACCAAAGACTCCATGATTTTACTCTTGAAACTGCATTTGACATTATAAAAGTGAATTTCACAAAATGGTTCAAGAACAAGGGTTATGGAAAAATAGTAAATACCCTATTGACTTCTTTTTTTGAACGCATGTTCAAGAACATGGTAAAATTTGGTTCCAATAAACTAAATTTAGCAATATGAAAAATAGGTACCCTTCTCTTTGTTATTTTTCCTTCTAAAGAAAGTAAATATCTAAAAGATGAGCTGAAATCTAATAAGAGATTCTTGGGGGGGAAAATACTGGAGGACCATCTTGAATCCATGATTTAACTTACATAGGACTGTAGGGTATGCTAAATTTTATGTTTTACAAGTAAATACTAAGTCCGTGGGTTTCAAAATGTTGTGTTATTAGTTATCATGGATCCATTACTTCATGTAATGGTCAACGCTGCATGACTACATGAGAACATGGGTTGACTCTAAAAGCAGCCACTTTGTGCAAAAGGTTAGGTCTAGGGATGTCAATTTAACCTGCCCCGTACACCCATATTGGGACGGATTTGGGATTATCCCTAATGGGGTTAGGGGCGTGTGGAAAAGAGTTTAAAACCCGCAAAGCCCCAAACCCGCCCCAACTAATAATAAATATATTATTAGATAAATATTATTTCATTAGCTATGGTTTTTATTTTTTCTTCATTTCTTATGATAATTTTAAGTTTTAACAACATTTTTGTTATTATAATTGTTAAATATTTGACAATACTTAATTTTTTTTATAAAACTTATCTTAAATTTGTTTAAACTTGAATTTTTTTTTTTTTTTTTTTTTTTTTAAATATGTATATCGAGGCGCACTGAATCCGATGCTATTTGGGGCAGGCGGGTTTGGGAAAAGATTTTTATTTGTGGGACGGGTTTGGGAAAGGGGTGCCTGGTCCCGTACCTGCCGTGTTGACATCCCTAGTTAGGTCTATACCCAATCATCAGCAAACGCAAAACAACATCGGGTAATAGTCTTTTATCATTAATTATCACTGGTTAAAATAAAATCGCAATGAATTCTAGAATAACCTCAATCGACTCTACCTCTGTAATCTATAGAAGTCTACCCCAATCGTGCTATGTTTAAAGCATGCTGGTACCATATTCCCGGTTCCCATTTCACGTAACAAAGCGATCCTCAAGAACTATCCTTACTTTTTTTTTCCCCCGGAAGGTAAGAACTATCCTTACTCGTATCAAGAGAAGTACTCTATTCCTCTGAACGTTTTTTGAAATTTTTAGGGATATTAAGTTCATATATATGTATGACTACCAATTTGGGAAAACAGGTCATTTACACACATCTTATTAAGCAGCTAACTATACACTTTTCCCTGATCTTATTTTCCATCAACAATAAAAGAGCCTTAAAGTTGGAGTGACACTTTCATTATATGCAGAAAACTGTGCAGGCTTAAAGGAAATGCCACAAATCATCATCGCCAAAATTGGAAGTGTGCTTGGGGACTTTAGGGTACTGTGAAATCTAAGCAGAAATTACCTTCATCAGCTCTTCAAGAAGGCGAGGTGCCAGCTCTAGCACACGTTTGAAGTCACGTTGTAATTCTGGGGATAAAGCTGCAGTTTCACGAGTTAATTGGGCTTGAATCAACAACTCCGTCTGAATAGAAAAAGGCAGCAAGTAAGAAATTGCAAATTCATTGTGAAGAAAAAAAATGCTATTAATAAAGCAAAAAATCAGTGGAAATTCCAACTCTAGTTGGGTACATTTCTCTCCCTATTAAAATTTCCATTAAGGCGCGCTACCTTGACTAGTGCTGGGTGCTGCTTCCAGAACTTTGCTTGCTCTTGTTTGATGTTCTTAAGGTCTAGGTTCAACTCACTTCTAACTAACACAAAAAGTTTTTGAAGGGGTTCACCATCAGGCCTACGAACTGGAATCTCCATGTATTCGGCAGCTTTAATGAAGACATCCATTACTTTGCTGTAAGAAAAAAGTTACCAAAAAAAAAACATTATAATGGATATCGTGCATAAGGTGCAGTGACATTGACCGATCAACGGGTGCCCAAAGACAATTAAGAAATTCAGTGTTGGGAAAAATAAGGAAAAGAAGATGAGAGAATTTCTCAAAACCCTCTTCTTCAAGTACAGATGCTGGCTGGTCCAACCAGCTATAAGTAGATTATTAGCCAAAGGGGGGCGATAACCTAAATCAGTAACTGATATTCCCAATCCAAATTACAGCATGGCCAATACAAATTGAACTCAATATAAAATAATAAGTTGGCCATATTGATAAAAGTATGCGTCTACTTATTATTTAAGAAGTGAAACACATCTATTAATAAGTGAACACATCTATTAATAAGTGAAACATCTATTAATACTTTAAACTACGCCAACCTGGCATTTCTAGGTATGACTTGCATCAGAAAAAGAATGCATGTTCGTTTTGTGACATACTCAAACCTATCTAACATACAAACCAGTAACCAATATGTCCTGCAAGATAGAACGTCTGTGCGTGATGTTAAATGGCACTTGAAGTTAAATAAGAATCACTTATAGAATAATTATTAATGACCGTATATTCAAAATACCTTGGGGCCAAGGAAGGTTTCATGTAGTAATAATAAGCAGCCAGTGTTTGATGCATGACGTAGTTTCCAGAATATTTTGACGACCTGGATAGATATACAACAGCTATCACCAATGGCAATAAAATACAAACTCCAACAATCCAAAGTAAAAGAATCCCGCCAGATGCCCCATCAATGTTCAGTAGAAATTGAGGGAGAGCTATTCCCATTTGAAACCCCTGCATCAAGACACCATATCATTAGGTGCCAAATAAAGTACTAATTAGTTCTAATAATTAATTCATTCCAAATAATCATAAAGTGCTAGAAACTCCATGAGACCAAAGTTAAACACCTGTCTACCATCTGGATGTCCATATTTTTCAAAATTCTCACGTGAAATTGGATCTGTCAGAGCCTGATAAGCCTTAGATATGTACTCCACGAAATAGTTGTGGGCCTCTGAAAAGTAAACGAAAATGAAAAGCAGCTATTATTATTAAGCATGTCATTCATAACAAATGTCAGATTTGTTCTTAATTCAAAGTTAGGACAGAACACATAAATTGAAGAGCTAAAACACCTTCAACCTGGATCTGGATTTTTATCAGGGTGGTATTGAATAGAGAGTCTCCTATATGCCTTCTTTATTTCTGAGTCAGAAGCTCCGGGTTCCAATCCAAGAATATTAAATGGCTCAAATACTTGAACCTGTGTTAAAAGCAAAAGACACATTGTGCCCAGTTAGAGGCAATAGTTACGTATTCCATCATTGAACATCATGAGTAGTCATAGCTTCAAAACTTGGCCAACTTGGACTCAGCCAGAGTTGAGTCCAAGTAAGGCCGAACTCTTGGGCAGACAAAAATCACTACAGACTTGGCTTCTCAATCTGACTTGACCAATATGGCCAAGTATTGACCGAGACAGCCGTGATTTGGCCAAGACTGTTGTCTCGGCCAAGACTTGGACTGACTGAATTTAACTTTGGTCAATATGGCCATATTTTGGCAAAGACGGCCTTGATTTTCGGCCTGGCTCAAAAAAACCTATTGTTCAATTCCCTCTTTTCTTTTTCTTTTTTCCAAATTTTAAATCCCAAAAAGAGAGAAGAAAACCAAAACCCCCACCCTACCAAAAAATAGATTTACAAATCAAGACACAAAATAACTCAAGAATTTTCGGTAAATTTACATTCTAGGTGTTCCAAACTCAATATTAGTTAGTAAGTCTTAAAATTTTAGTAAAATACTAATATATTTATATAATATAATTTATAAACAACATATTATGCATATAATAAAGATTTCTTTTGCATAAAAAGTGACTTGCAAACAGAAAATTAATAAAATTCATTGAAGAATATTGATTCATTATTTAAAAATAGAAACAAGCAAATAAGTAAGAATTATATGTGATGTATAGGATTTCTGTGTGCCAACTACAAGTACACTAATTTCCACCTCCCAAGTTATTAATGTATATGCTTTTGTGATATGACACGTTTATTATTAAGCTTATTTTAATATGTATTTGTGGGTTGTGGGCATGAATTTAGTACCAAGTATAAATATTACATCCGATAATGCTAGCAAAACCTTAAAATTTAATTTATACGCAACTACTCATATGAAATCACCTTTGAATATTTAATAAAATATTAAAGACATGATTTTACTGAATACTGTAGTTAAAACTTGCGTATAAGTTTGTTTTTGATTATGTCTCTTAGTTTGTTGAAAACATTTCTCGACTGCAACAGTCAATACCAGTTGCGTAACCCCCGTAACAGCCCAAGACCATGACACTGCTACCGTGACCACATCGGCAGCCGCAATTGCATTCAAAACCTTGTGAGTAGCAGGACATAAGGACCTAGCACAAAGATCTGACTCACTTCTTCTACAAGAAGCGCTGGAAAATATTACTTTTAAATCGAGCATGGCTATCACATGGTCATATATAATATAACTATCAGTGGCTTCTTTGTCTTGATAATTCTATCATTGCTTTATCTTTAAATGGAAATATTTACCTCGCGACTTATATGCTTGATGTAATAAACAAGGATGGCCATGATGACCCAAAGCAGCACTAATGTCATGTTACTACATGTTGAAACGCTTGAGATCTGCAAAAGTAGGTCCAAAACAGAGCAAATATGTACAAGATCACAAGATAGTCATAATACTTGGTAATAACTCCCTAATATGATGAAGAGAGTGAGAACAGAATTAACATTATGAAGAGGATCTTACACGTTTAAAAACCGATTTCCGATACTTTCCCGATCGTGAGCATACAGAACACTCACAATGGATGGTCTTTGTCTTCTTTGAGGCAGCACGACATAGTTTCAGTATTGTATAAGGCACCAGAGGGAGAGCAATTATTGTCAAAATGAAAATTGGGAATAATGCACTATTTTCTTCTGAGGCGGCCATGGGAACCTTTTGTCTGCAGCTTCTTGTATATAGATATTATTCCTACAAATGAATTCTAAACATTACCAATAGATTTTAAGCAGGGATGCAACAATTAGGACGCCATGAAGTCCGGTAGAGACATATGACTTGATGGGTCATAGCATCATGTACTAAAGCAATTTTAAGGAACTTATGACCTCTTAGGCATAATAATTCAACATCAAGATTTAGCATAAATATATGCTCTTCTTCAGATTAAAATATGCAAGTGATATTCCTTGGCAAAAGGGTCACTGCCTGCTTTCGGAGGAGGTTAATAGGAAAAATTAGATGCTAAGAAATAGCTATCTAACTGTTTAATTTATTTTTTGGATTCTTTGGGGCCTTGAACCCGGGTTCCTTTGTCCACAGGACGTGTTCCCCTATTGAACGCCCTTTTTAATTTATTATTACTTATCAAAAAAAAAGAAATAGCTATCTAACTGACACCCATCACTGTATTTTCATCTTTGGATTCATTTTCTCTTTCCTTCTTTCGAAAGTTCAAGCAAACACACACACCCACTGTAGATTTTTGGCCCCACCGGTGCTCGAACACTCAACCTCCCCAAAGGGGGAGGAGAGCTTATACGATCTAGAGTAAAAGCCCATTGGTATTTTTGGATTCATTTTCTCCATTGAAAAAACACACACACACATATATATATATAAAATAAAGAAATAAAAAAGGCACACAAAATAAGTTCTGTGACGTGTGCTATTATAAGCCAGCATCATCAGCTGAGACTAAACATGCTGTGCTCAAACAATTTAAATACAAATGTCTTGCATCAAGAACAATATAATTGACAAAAAGAACAAGAGGCTATCTAGATTAATCGATTTCTTTTTTTAGCAAATAAGTTTCCAAATGATAAATTATTCATGAGGTTCAATGAAACAGATGCAACTAAAATTGATAGATACATTACACTTAGAGAGAGATATTTAACTCAATTTAGTTTAAAAATCAGAATCCTCTTCAATTTAAAATCTGCAATAGATTTCAGATTTTAAAAGATTCCTTTAAGAAGCATACACTGCCCACTTTCAGACGAAGTTCATAGGAAACCATCTTTGCATTTACATCATCAGGTTTAATCTCTCCAATGAAAAAATCAAAGACAAAATTTAACGTGCAGTCCTCAAACGATTCAAATATTAGTAACAACATATCAGCCTAATTAAATTGACTCGTTTCGTTCTTCTGTGGGTATGATTAGCTACTGAATGCTAAGTTACCCATGAGTGCTTCTAAATTGAAAAGAAAATCTAGCAAAGCACAAACACAATCAAATGTTTAAAATCTTGATTGGTCTCAATCTTGATTATTATCAAATCATACCCATAAGAATCTCAATTGAAACAACAGTGCCTAAACCATACAAATCGATCGAGATGAATAAACAAAATTCCAAGATGAACCCACTAAATCCACTGCAAAGCCCATCAATTTCACGATCTTCAAACACATAAATCAAAATCAAACCGGTATTAAGAAGAATAATCAAAACCCAGATACAATTCACAAAGAAAACTAGCTCATCGTGTTCAGTTGGACAATTGAAAATCTTAGGTTCGATCAAAACAATTCTATGTATACACATATACGTATGAAATTACCTAGAAATGGAATTGGAGACCAGAGATCTGCTTCTTCAAGAACCAAAAACTGTAAACCGTACGAGGGCGCGAATGTTGTGAGAGAAGGAACAATACGGGGGCCAGAGAAGGAGCTTCTCTCGGTTTATTAGGTTCCAGATCCAGAAACGTAAACGTACACGGTCCAGTTCAGTTTTTTATTTTCCCATTTTAGCCCTGAATATGGGCCAAGTGATGTCATCAGCCAATAATATATATCTATTTATGGTAAACAATTAAGAGAGTATTTTTGTCCATGTCATATTTTGTAGTAATTTAATGTAAGATAGATTGTACATCAGGTCATGGGTATGAAATTTTGACCTGAGCATACCAATTAGGGATTTAAAAGTCTTGTCAGCAAGTGCAGTGGCTCGATAGAAAGGGTTTGTTTCAATTAACACACTAGTGCACATAGATTTGTTTGTTTTAGTGTATCTAAGTACTTAGAAAGATAGAGAAGAATTCTTAATGATAGTAAGCGATACAATGTTTTCTTTTGTTTTCCTTAAATATTTTATATAAAGGTGCAAATGAACCGGTTATTCATCAATTGTTTAAATCTCGGTTGGAGCGCGTTTGTTAATCAAATAAGTTGGGCTTTTTAAGTTCATTTGATAAACTATCAAACGAGTTATTTTAAAATAAAATTGAACTTTACAACTTGTGAACATAAATTTATATAGGCTCATTTATATTTGTAAATATATGTGTAGACAAAGGCGGAGACAACATGTGCCCAGGCCACTTGTCCATGCTGCCCCATTAGATTTTTTTTTTTTTTTGTTTAATACATAAATTTGTAAAAATTAATAAAATGTCCCCCTAAAAATAATTAAATGGCCCCTCTGCCCCTAAATTCATTAATTTTTATTTTATTTTATGTGTATAATTTGTAAATATTTATAAAACATCCCCATAAAATTTATAAATTATCTCCCATAAAATTATCTATTTTTAAAAATATCTTTAATTCTTTATTCATTTTCTTTTTTATTCTTCAAATTTCTTTTAATCATCTTCAAAAACTTTTACATTCTCTTTCTACAATTAAAAACTATTTTTTCCTTCAAAATTCCCCCATTTTTTTTTCTTTTTATTTTTTTTTCTTCTTAAAAAATTCATTTTTCTTCTTAAAAATTTCTTTTTTCTTGCACTCATGCGTAATTTATGTGCAATAACCTTCTTTTTCTTTTTTCTCCTCTTATTTATTTTTTATTCACTTATTCTAATGCACTATTGTTACACTATTATATTTTAGACTTGTTTGAAAAAAAAAAATTTATTTTGTCAGTGTTAACATGCCTCTCCTTAACCAAATTCCTGGCTACGCCCATGTGTAGACACCCTATTTTGCCCCTCCCTTTTCGGCTAATCCCCAATAGAGTTTCGGTCATCGGGAAGTAATTTCGACACCACTATCGCCTTCAGAACGCCCAAAAACCTATGAAAGCACCTAAGGTTTGTCTCGTTCGAAAGTCCATGGAATCCGATCGTTCTCATTTTTAAAAAAAAAAAAAAGGGCAAAATAGTCATTTCACATAAGAGCACGCTAATCAAAGTATTTTTCAAAAAAGGGACCCCGCCAATGTGTCCGAACAACCCAAAACCTCGTGATTGACCCCATAGTCAAAAGAACCTTTTAGATAAAAACCCCAAAGAAGTGTATAGCCAACCATAACCATGACGTGACTAGCCTACTTTTAGCACAAGATGACACAAATGCACCTTTAGATGTAGCTGGTCACAAAAACAACTAAAAGTAGCCCGTCCACACCCGTAGTGGTGGTTATTCAACTTTTAATTACTTTTTGTACAAAAAGTTGTTTTCCTCATCTATAGACGTGTCTACCCTTGGAAACAATTAAAAGTTGCTCAATCGCAGTGCTATAGGTGCAGTTATGTCTGTTCACAGTAAAATTACTTCAGTACCAAGTCTCCCCAGCTCTCCAGGAGACTTTATAAATAAAGGCACACCTCTCTCATTCAAGAAAAGGTTCTCTACCCATAAGGTAGTGTTGAGGAAGAAATCTGCACGGCCCGGTACAACGCCGTTTCTTGCAAAACAAAGAACAACTAAGTTGGGCGCCGGTGTGGTGCCAGCCGAAGACCCTCCAACAATCAAGTTAGTAGGGGTTTTGAAGAGAAAAAAATATAATCATAACCAAGTTAGATAGGGTTTATTCTCCTACATCCTTCCCTATATTAATGATCTTCTTCCCGATCCAGTCTGTTGAGTATATCCCGCTTGTAAAGATTTAATTTATTATTAATAATGGCCTCAATTATCCTTGTCAACTGAATGTTGGCATCCTTATCGTAGACAACCATCATCCTATGGAAGTTTAAGAAAACTGGCGGCTGGTTAATATTTGGTTATTTCCATCATTTGGTCAATCTAGTGGGAGTTTAAGATATTGTAGTTTCTTTTGCAGAAGAGTAATTTTTAGTATTTATTCCATTTATTTTAGACTTCATTCCACTTTCTTTAGTGGTTTCAGTTAAAGCTCATATTCCCATTTTTTCAGTCATTCCCACTCATTTAGTTATTTCTCCTTTGCAGGCCTTTCTTTCAGTTTTCAATCTGGTTCCTAAAACTGTTTAGCTTATGAGATCTTTTAGAGCTTGGAAGTATGTTGTAGTTGGTGATTTTGAGGTGTATGATGAATACAAGACAAAATTGATGTCTAAGTGCTTAAGCAAAAGTTAAGTGTTGATTTCTTTGAGATTTTTCTCCAATTTCATTGAAGGACTCTTTAAGAGTCATTCTTTCAGTATCGCTCATTTATGGCTTAAGCAAGTTTTACAGCAGTGGTATCTCAATTTTGATACAATGATTATTAATTGTAGGTTCAAAGAAAATGTTGTGGATAAATGCATATACCTCAAGTTTAGTGGAGTCGTTTTGCTTTACTTATTCTATATGTTGATGATATTTTGCAAGGTAGCAATGACATTCATGTGATACATGATATTAAGAATTTTATAGAAAGTGTTTGGCATGTAGGACATGGTATGTCATTGATATTAGGATGCATAGAGATCACGCTATTGGAATACTTGGGCTTTCTCCAAAGGCTTATATTAATTAAGTATATGAAAAAAAAATTAAGGGTGACCAAACGTAGTAAGCCCATTAACGTAAAGTACATTTTCAAGCGTGAGAAGGTTAAGGTTTAAGTGCCATAAAGATTTCCCTATATGGTTACAGAAAGATTGTTGCAGATCCTCTTACTAAAGGTCTTCAGCCGAAGATAATAAAGTATTTAAAAAGCACGTGATTCGGATAGGTATTTGAGTCATTATGTTATGATGTCCAATATTTCTTTTATATATGCTACATTGCAATTAGTTTCTTTACGCCTTGTGGTGACAATTATTTTTCCTCCAGTTTACACCTTATGGTGACAATTATTTGCATGAAAAATAAAGTTATGATGCATCATTATCGTTATCTTAATATATATGGTTTATGCACGTGTTATTGTGTTTATTTGATAGTAGTAGTTCACTCACGAGGTTGTTTGGGATAGATGTGAGATTAGTACCACATCGGTAAATCCAAACTAATTATTAAAGGTTGTCTGTGTAGCGACCGAAACCCGTGGGTCCGAATCGTTACCTAGGTCCTTACCAGAACCCAAGGTCACCTAAGTCAATCCCTATCATGACTAGTGTCAACACATCATTATTGCGTCATAATATGCATAAAAAAAGGCTCTAAGCAACTATTAAGACTCGAGGTTACTCGTATCAAGAGAAAGAACAAAGTGCCACAAACCAACAGCAAACCGGTCGACCGAAGTGGAGCTTCAGCCGCTGAAATAGCTCCTATACCGGTCGACAGAAATGGCGGCCTCACTTACTGTTTGGGCCAAAACTCACCGACCGGAATGGTCATTTCGGTTGATCGGTACAGGAGCTATTTGGGCCGGCCGAAATGACCCTGCGAGCTGTGAACCTGCTACTAGCCATTTCGGTCGGCCGAAATGACCCTGCGAGCTGTGAACCTGCTACTGGATGCAAGAATGAAGAACCACCTCCTATTCACTTGTAATAAAAAGTTTACATACACAATACATGATCCAAAAATGATTTACATGAATTATATCAATGTTATCACAGGTTTACAGTCCACGAAACAAAACCAAAAAGTTTACAAGGACCCACAATTTATAACTCTAGTACTTGATGCTTAAACTTTACAATAAGTCTAGTACTTGATACTTAAACTTTACAATAAGAGCTTAGTTCATATTTACATGAAAAAGACAGTAAAACAAAAGTCTCAATCCCGTCTAAAGCTATAGTGGATTGTCGTCCGCCATTTTTTTTCCCGAACCTGAAAAATGTTAAGGTGAAGGGGTGAGCATAAGCTTAGTAGGAGGTGCCTAAGGCACATCTCTTAAGTCCTCGTAAATCCACACAATGAATATGAATAAAGGAATTGGGATCATGCCACTTCCGGGAAGAATATAATCACAATAGCAACATCAATAATCTGAGTTATAAATGAATTATGTCGTGCAATGGGATGCAATGCCATATAATGTCGCTCCCCATTTCCAAAATCGTTTCCATCATCATTTCCAAACCGTTAGTGAAACCCGTCCCATGGCAACTCCATGGTGGCACGAGAGGAGGATTGACTAACTATTCCTGACCCATGGCAACACCATGGCGTCATTTGGGGTCTAGGTAACTTAACAACGCTAAGACGATCTCCCTACTCCCCTCTAGGTCACACTAACGCCACGGTCCCTAAACAACTCCTAGGCGGACGAGTTTTCATAAACCCTTTCCAAAACTTTTCCCCAAAAACACCTTTTTATTTCTTTCAAAACCTTGTTCCCATTTCTTTCCCAATGAAGTGCATGGATGCTTCATGCTTCACAATGTCATCCCAATTAAAAATTTCATTCTTTCAAGCCAAATATTCACAATATACATGCCTTGTAGAAAATCATAGAAATATACTTCATGATTCCAAAACATAAAATTCAACACATAGAACACAATAGGCATGCAATATAATCATTTAAGTATGTTTTCTCATACAACACTACCTAATACACATAATCGTATACAACATTTGAGACATTTTAAGAGAATCAACACAAATATAACATGCTAGATA